AATTTTAACTGTTAGTCTTTCTTTTTTTTTTTTCTCCAGCGGGAAATATGAATTTTTTATTTCAAGAAGTTGCCTGGCTCAGATAATAATTCCCCGCTTCCCTTTCCTCCTTCCCTCCCTCCCTCCCTTCCTTTCTACCTTTCTTCTGCCCTCTTACTTTCTCTTTTCATATAAAGCCACAGGCTGAAGTCTTCCTCAATAGAGTCACCCATCTGTCCTGCTGGTTCCAAAGTTCCCTTCTCGGGGCTCTGCCTGCTGGACAAATCTCCCAAACAGGAGCTCGGGACTCCAACCAGGTTCAGCCATAGTATCTGTGTCCCTATTGATGGTCTTACATAGCCCAAGTCATGCCACCAAATGCTAACATTCCCTCTTGGGAAAAATTAGAAGTACAAGACTGAGTAACACTAAAATTTCATGTTTGAGAAATCTCAGAATTCTTACATTCACAGAAACCATTAACCAAATAGAAGACCTGAAAGTGAAAGAGGGTACACCTTTTCACTTGCCTGGAATTGCTTGATTTTAATATTTGTGCCTGTGCAGGCCCATATCATGAGTGACTAGATTAAGAGATCCACTTCTTATGGAACTCCCATTTGACCCAGTGATCCCACTACTAGGAATATATCCCAAGAAACCAGAAACGCCAATCAGAAAGGATATATGCACCCCTATGTTCATAGCAGCACAATTCACCATAGCTAAGATTTGGAAACAACCTAAGTGCCCATCAGCAGATGAGTGGATTAAAAAACTGTGGTACATCTACACAATGGAATACTATGCTGCAGTAAAAAAGAAGGAACTCTAGCCTTTGCAACAGCATGGATGGAACTGGAGGAGCATTATGCTAAGTGAAATAAGCCAGTCAGAGAAAGATAAATACCACATGATCTCACTCATTTGTGGATTATAGAGAACAACATAGACTGATGTACAGGGACAGATCCAAAGACAGAGAAACAGCGATCAGGCTATCAATCCCCAGAAGGAAAGTAGGGGAGGGAGGGGGTAAGGGGAAGAGATCAACGGAAGGACTTGTATGCACGCATATAAGCCAAACCAATGGACATGGACAACAGGGGGATGGGAGCATGAGTGTGTGTGTGTGCGGGGGGGGAGGTTGGGGGTTAATGGGAGGGATGAGGACACATTTGTAATACCTTAACTAATAAAGAATTTAAAAAAAAGAAAAAGAAAATACTTTACATAGTAAATTTAACAAAATAAGTACAAGATACGTACACTGCAAACATAAAACATTACTGAAAAAAAATAAAGAACTAAAGAAACAGAAAACCATTCCAGGATCATAAATTGTTAGATGGCAATACACCCCCAATTGGTCTATAGCTTCAATGTGATCTCTTTTTGTTGTTGCCAAAATTAACAAGCTCATCCTAAAATTCATATGGAAATACCAGAAACCCAGAATAGCCATGACAAGCTAGAAAATAAGAACAAAGTTGGAGGACAGACTTCCCAATTTCAAAACTTACTACAAAGCTACAGTAATCAAAATAGTGATACTGATGTAAAGACACCCAATAGAATAGAAATGAGAGCCCAGAAATAAATTCTTACATTTACAGTGAGCTGATTCTCAACAAACATGCCTCAAAAATTCAATGGCAAAACAAACAAATAGTCCTTTTAACAAATGGTGCAGGGACAACTAGATAACTACATGCAAAAAGATGAATTTGGTCCCCTACCTCACTACATATAAAAGTTAATTCAAAAGTGGATCATGAACCTAAATATAAGAGATAAATCTATGAAACTTTAAAAAGAAAACATAGGAATAAATCTCTGTGATGTTGGGTTAGTTAAGGCACTGATTTCTTTAAAAAGCACATGGGATAAAAGAAAACACATTGGACTTACAAAATTTAAAACTTTTGTATTTCAAAAGATACTATCAAGAAAGAAAAATGAAAGAAAATATTGCAAATCATATATTCAAAAAGGGACTTATATCTAGGATTCATAAAGAACTCTCATAGGTCAATAATAAAAATATAATGCAATTTAAAAAATGGGCAAAGACTTTGAATAGTTATTTTTCTAAAGATGACATACAAATGGCCAAAAAGATGAGCAGCTTCATTAGTCATTTGATGCAAATCAAAACCACAGTGAGATACAATTTCTCATAAACTAGAACAGCTACAATAAAAAAGATGAACGCAGTGTTGATGAGGATGAAGAAATCTGAGCCTTTTTACATTGTTAGTGAGAATGCAAAATGATGTACCTACTTCTTTACATCCTTTGTCCACTTTTTCTGTTGGGTTGACATTTAGCTTTTTTTTCCTGGAGGGAGGAGGTTTACGTACTATGGAATCATTGGATATATACACTGCAGATATTTTCCCCCCGTTTGTCTCTTGCCTTTTGTTTTTGTTTACAGCAGCCTTTCTCTAACAGAAGAACTCACAGGGAGCCCTGTTATCAGTGGCGCTGTCTGAGATGCTCTTGGAGTTCTCACCCACTAACCTTCTGGGAGTCTTTGTACCTGCCTACCCTACCTGCCTACCCTCACCCAACTGTTCTGGAGGCCTGTCAGCACATTCCTGAGTATTTACTGAAAGTCTGAATCAAAGGCCAGTTTCTCAGGATTAGTTTCTTAGGGCAGTCTCCTCAGCAGGTCTATTAGGCACAGGCTTTTAGGCCAACTCATGGTATATTCCTTCTTAAAGCAACTACTGGAAGGAATAGAGAGAGTAGGGAAGGAGGGAGAGAAGGAAAGGAAAGGGAAAGAGGAAAAAGGAAAGAAGGAGGGATAGAAGGGAAGGGAGGATAGATAGAAGGAGGGAGGGAGAGAGGGAGGAAAGAAGGGAAAGAGAGAAGGGAAGGAGGGAGAAAGGGAGAGAGGGAGGGAGATAGGCAGGCAGGCAGGCTGGGTTATTCCTCTTGCCAAAAGGCAAAGAGACCTTTTCCCCTTCTCCCTTTTCTTACAATTCATTAAGAAAAACCTGTATTGCCCTAGCCGGTTTGGCTCAGTGGATAGAGCATCGGCCTACGAACCAAAGGGTTCTGGGCACATACCTTGGTTGCAGGCTCCTCCCCAGCCTGGGCCCTGGTCGGGCTCATGCAGGAGGCAACCAATCAATGTGTTTCTCTCACGTCGATGTTTCTCTCTGTCTTTCCCTCTCTCTTCCACTCTCCCTAAAAAATCAATGGAAAAATATCCTTGGGTAAGGATTAACAAAAAATTTTTTAAAAAAGAAAAGAAAACCTGTATGTATAAGTCCTTCCTCAGTTCCTTTGAAATGCATATAAATCTTTTTAAAACCTAAATAAGCCTCTTATGAGCACTACAATCCAAGAACGTTTTTCTTAAGGGCCTGGGAGCCACCTCTTTTAAATAAAAACATCAAGGAAGATAGCACCTATCTCCCAGTCCTTTCCGGATTTTAGTTAGCCTGAGTGCATTGTGCCAAGCTGCAACCACCTGCTTGCCATAAAGTTACAAGACGGTTTATTCTTTTCTTGGATAAAGGCAATTACCTAACACAGGTGGCCACCCCAATTACCAGGTAAATTCAGGATAAACTATGAAAGGAATGTACAGCAAACAGTGCCATCAAATCCTCTCTTATGAGGACAAATTAGCATTCATCTTGATAACATGTATATAATGGATTGTATCTGCTTGGCCATTTGTTTAAAAGGGTGAGATTTCGTTTGTCTTTGCAATCTCATTAGTGGCTTGCCTGTGATGTGCATCACAGTCTGCTTAAAGCTTATATTCAATAATAAAACGGTTTTCTTTCTTTTCTACATTTGTGGAGAGAAACTTCTGGGTTGGCAGAAGACTTATTTTTAATTTTTCTCCTAAGAACTGCCAAGATGTATTTTTAAGTAAAAAGCAAACTATAGAACTATATCATATGCATAGTATTTTTTAGTTTTTAAACCTTAACCTAGGACATTTTTTCCCATTGATTTTTAGAGAGGGGAAGGGAGGGAGGGGAAGAGAGAAAGAAAAGGGGAAAGGGGGAGAGAGAGAAATATAGATGTGAGAGGCACATGGATTGGTTGCCTCCTACATATACCCGGACCAGGCCGGTAACTGAACCTATAACCCAGGTACACACCCTTGACCAGGAATCGAACGCATGACCCTTAAATGTGAAGGCCAGTGCTCTAACCACTTAGAACACTGGCCAGGGAGTATTTTTTAGTTTTAAAAATATACATTGGTATGTCTAGAGATATCTGTATCAAACTGTTAAAAGTTTTTACTTCTCTGATGAAGTGTAGATGAGAAGAGGAATTCCAGTTTTTATTTTATCTACATCTGTAATATTTAGTTTTTTATGATGAATTTATTTCATTACTTTTGTAATGAATGTTAGCAAAACAACTCACTTGAAATTTTATTATTTTCATTAACTGAAAATAAAAATATTTGTCATGTAAAACTACTTCTCCAAAAATGATGTTATTTTTTTCTTAAAAGAAATCCATATAAGTAAGGTAGCTTTCAAGGTTTTATTCTTTGCAGATAGGCAGTGAAACACTTGATTTTGGATACACAAGACATCTTACCTGGACAATGAATGAAAGACCAGTTGTATCTGCTGTCCTCCAGACACATGCTGGAATTGAGAAGGGGCTGTGGGTAGAAATTTCCTATAGGGGCCTGAGAAGGCATCTTCACTGGTCCTTTATAGGAGCCCTCTATGCATTTCCCTTTGCCAGTATTGCTGGGATCAGTACACCAGCCGCAGCCTGGTTGCTCCAAGCAATGACTACAGGTACAGTAGCCTGAACAATTTTCAGCTGTTAAGAAAACACAAGTTGCAATTCACTATCTCCTTTAGATCTGAATTCATTGTATTTAAATCACCCTTTTCTTTAACAGATTATTAAACCTCTGTGAGTCAAAATTCCTATTCTATTGTGACTGTTTAAATGGCATAATAAATTTGAAGAACCCAATATCTTGTTCTACATGTATTAGGGACTCCTCCTCTCTCAATCTCAGGATGTTGGAGCCAAAAGGGACCTGAGAGGTCACCAACTGAAAAGCACTTACTTTATGAGTTAGAAGATTAAGATGTGGAGACCAGCCCGGCCAGCATGGCTCAGTGGTTGAGAGTTGACCTCTGAACCAGCAGGTCACGGCTCAGTTCCCAGTTGGTGCACATGCCCAGGTTGTGGGCTTGACCCCCAGTGTGGGGTGTGCAGGAGGCAGCCGATCAATGATTCTCTCTCATCACTGATGTTTCTATCTCTCCCTTCCTCTCTGAAATCAATAAAAATATATTTTTAAAAAAAGATGTGGTCATACAGGATGGAGCAATATGATACTGAAGTTGAGCAATTATTTCTGTACTCTGATCTATCCTACATTTATTTACTTGTATCATTGTGCTTTGTTCTATATGAAGATTATCATCAACAGTCTATCGACAGATCTGAGCTGAAGGTCAGGTCCAGTCTTGTCCCTCAAATGTTCAGAGGCTGACAGCACCGCCTCACTGCAGGAGTTGTCACCCGTACACATGGCACTCATTAGTGCTTAGAGCTCACTTTTCACTTACGGGGACAGCTGCTCATGGTATACCACTCCATACACTGGCCATAAGGGAAGGAGGCCACGTAGGCATTGGAGTCCACACACTGCTTCATGTTGCTGCACCACATGCACTCGGAGCTGCCACTGGTGCACTCTCCACATGCCGTCCTCAAGGCACACGGTGTCCGACACTGCTTGGTGCTGTGGTTCGCTGGGAAGTAAACATAAGAGAGACACTTAGAGCTCCTACCATGTTGGCTAAGGTCAAAGTCTTTTCAGTATGGGTTGTTAACATTAGTCTGTCAATCAATTCAGTGGGCTATATTAAATGAAGGAGAAAATAGAAAACATTAGAGTCACCATGTACTGTTTAGTCAAATATATTGTTATACTTGAGGAAAAAAGATGTTTTTCTTTTTCAAAGACCTGTGGGAACAAGCTAATCTTTCCATTCAAATAGGGGTTCTAAAGCTCCTCAAAAATATGGGCCCTAGCATAAACTTCAGGGCTTTACAACCCACCTGAACATGCAAAATCATATCTTTGTATATTTTAGGGAAGAAGGACCACAGCATTCATTAAATACACCAAAGCACTCAGGATCCAAAATGGCTAAAAAGCTCCCCTACAGGAAGTTTAGAAGTAATATTTTTAAGGTGACTTCTACAGTGCTATCAATTCTTTTCTATATTTCTGTGTTCTTCAAATTGTGGTCCCTTCCTAAAATGAGACATGATGTCAAAGGAGTCCAGCCTCCCGAAAGTGCCTAGAAAATTCCACCTATTACTTGTGAACCCTCTGCAGGAGGAGGACACTTGTCTTGGGCTTACCGGCGTGCTGCAGGTGCTGCCCCTGTGCCTGGCTTTAAGAAGCCTAAATGTAGCCCAGAAGAGAGATGCAAAGCCATGAAGCTACTCAAAGTGTTTGCTCCTTCAGTACTCAAGTACAGCTTTAGCACATCAGGTTTGCTTCTGTTTTCTGTCACAGAACTGCACTCATCATTTTTCTCCCTACTGACACATGTTTCTGTCCACTGTCCCTTTTGTCCCCTATGTCAGTTCTGATCTTTCCTTTGCTTTTATTTGTATTTTTGGTTCTTTCTTCCACAGCATTTCTCTGCCAACACCAAGAAATTAACCTTTTAGAGCAAGTCTCAAACTTTTTGAGATCAACAAACCAATCAATCTCATTGTTAATTAGAATATTAGGTTCTCTGAGTAGTATTAGTTATTTTTGTTTAAGTTTATGGGTCATACTATTCAGAGCCAGAGGAAATTTTCTTCTGCTTTTAAAATTCTGAGTTATACTCTGCTTCATATGCTTGAAATCAATACTCAATCTGTTTTTCATGAATATTTTACATATATCAATACTATGCCTCCTATGGTTTTGCTTTCAATGAACTTCCAGTAATGCATAATTCCCCATATACCTACCCAGCTTTTCACAGACACTACCATTGAGTGGGTTGATGCAGGTTGCAGCCTTCAGGCCCCGAGTACTGGGTTCTGATAAGATTCCACAGAATCCAGCATCACTGGGCTCAAACGGCATCCACTGTATCGAACTATTTGTGAATGCGGACATATCTTCCCAGCACCAGTAGGACACATTGATCTTCCGAAGGCCAACCCATGGGGTCAAGGTCAGCTTGGTCTGTAGGCAAGAGAGACACAGTTATGAATATAAACAATGTCTTGACCAAAACAGGCTTCTATATAAAATCCATGAAGTTACAAATATCCCAAAGATACAGGAAAACCTCCCTATCCATTGACTCAGCCATTGCAGATAAGGACAGACCATCATTTTTAAGTTATATATCATGCTTGGCCCTTTAATATGGCCATTTTAACAAGGACAAAAATATAGCTCAGAGAATATATGAAAAATTTCACAGAGATTAATGGCAAAACAATAATCAAGGTCCAAAATTTCCATATCCTATGACATGCTATGAAGAGATAGCCACCCCCAAACTTGGTTTATATATCTATCCATACATGAAATAATCTTGCCAATATTTCTGAAATATTGGTTATCTGTCTATCCTCAGAATCATTAACTAAGCCTGTTTGGGGCACTGAACAGCTCAGATGATTGGAGATTCCCACCTTCAGCTGGGGGAAGGGCTGGCATTGAATTTTGTAGGGAATAATGGGATAGTAAAACCCTGGGCGAGTCTCTGACTGCTGCTCTACTGAAATTTCCCTCCTGTTGCATTAACAAATTCTTTTAAAATAAAAGTACAAAGTTTAGCCCAGAAATGAAAGATAGTCCTAATTTTGCCAGTTATAAAACAAAATGTACTATGTATTTCAATTTTTGGGGAAAAAATATGCATTCCTATTGAAAGACCCAACAGAAATAGACATACCCCATAGTAGTTATTTTTAGTTGTAGTAAGTAATATTTATTCTATTTTTAATATTACTATTTTCTAAATTTCCTCTGAAATGTGTATTATTTTTTAAGGAAAGAAAACAAATAAAGTTAATGCTTTTTAAAAGTCCTTCAATAACTTCTCTTTGCTTTCCTGATAAAACTCAAAGTAATTAGCATTGTAGACAAGGCCTCCCAGGATTTGGCCTTGATTCCTCATAAGACACACCTACAGCCACTCCCTTCCACCCAGCCTGCAGCTCACCCCTCAAACTCCGCATCTTGCATGTGTGGTAGCAAAGCACAGAGAGCCCTTCCCTAGTCACCTTCCCAATTCACTCTTCATCGTCAGGGGTTACCTCTTTCTGGCTACGGGCCAGCCTCTGCCCTAAAGACTAGGTTGAGTACGCTTATTTGTTTTTCCATATAAGCCCGGGCTCTTAGTCTAGACTTACAGCTTAATTTACAGCTTAACACAAGACTGTGAATTCTTTTTTTTTTTTAAATATATATATTTTATTGATTTTTTTACAGAGAGGAAGGGAGAGGGATAGAGAGCTAGAAACATCGATGAGAGAGAAACATCGATCAGCTGCCTCCTGCACACCCCCTACTGGGGATGTGCCCGCAACCAAGGTACATGCCCTTGACCAGAATCGAACCTGGGACCCTTCAGTCCGCAGGCCCACGCTCTATCCACTGAGCCAAACCGGTTAGGGCAAGACTGTGAATTCTTATTGTATAAAGGTAGTCCCAGCTAATTTGACTACCCAGAACCTTCTAGAACTAGAAAACCTGAGGAAGAGAGAAGAGGGACCAGAAGATAGGATATCTGTGACCAGCTGGGATAGCCAAACCCTTCTAACCAGCTATTCTTGGAGACACATGGAATTGGGAGTCATTGGAAATGAGCAAAACTGTAAGCTATCAATTTTCTGAAGAGTGACTACAGATAAGATCAGCTGACAGCCAAGGACAGAACACCGTAGAGACCCGTATTTGGAGGTCAGGTAAAGAGAAACAAACAAAAGCAGTCCCTAATGGAGATTATAAATTTGAAAAACTTTTAAGATATAAAATATCAAATGTGGCCATAGTGTCCCATGAGGTAACCACATTTATGATATATTACCAATGTTTTCCACACCATACCAAAGTTGCACTTAAAAAAAAAAAAGACTAAATGTAGAAAAGTAAAAAATAGGCACCCCCTACCCATTGCAGAACAGCCCTCTAGGCAGCATGCAGGGCCACCTGTAGCCAGGACCCAGGCCATACTCCATGTCCTCACCTGAAGCAGGCTGCACCCAAGGAAGCACTGCCTATTGCCTCTCCCTACTTGGTGAGAAGAACTCCGCCCCCGCCAAACGCTCTGTACCAAAGCCAGTGCTGGTAAGAGCTTGGTCTTGTGTCTACTTAATTGAGGACAGACCCACAGCCTAAGATTTTAAACTCAAAAAGACCAAGTGTGATTGTGGAATGTCAACTATAAGCCACCTCAGAGCACTGAGCAGATGGGAAGAGAACTTGGGGTTCTGTGCTTAGGAACTTTTGATAAGAAGGTACTCTCTCCTTTTGGGCTGGCCAGGCCTAAGGAAGATGCAAACAAACATTTCTTGGGTGATGAACATTAAATCATATTACACACTGTAATAATACCTAAAATCTGAGACTCAGGTGGCTTAATTCAACCTACCTAAGTAGCAGTGACATTCCCCTCCCCCACAACAGCAACACCAAGGGATAAACCAATACAAAATCATCACTGTTGTCACAAAGATATGTGCATATGTACACACATTACTATTCAATACACATGTAATTATTCAAATGTAATTTAGTAGATATGACTAATAAAGTGTTTAAAATGTTAAGGTAAAAAAGAAGGTATTAAAGGAAGAGAATCTGCAAGTGCCCGTTCCAGTGTGTTACACAGCACTCCTCCTACCAAGCACATCACAGGTGAGAGCTGTGTTCATGCCCTCAGTAGACAATAGATGTAAGTCCTGAGGATTTTAACTTACCATGCTCTGCGATGATTGCATTATTCGCAGCTGCTTAAGAACAAAGTCTATCTTCTGCTGGGTTGTAAGAGAAGCCAAAAGGGCATTGTGGTTCCTACAGGACAATTTAGCGGTGTCATAAGTCTCCTTGGCAGTAGAAATTTTCAAACACATGTTCACAACCAAATGCCAGCCACTGCCACAGATATTTTCTTTTGTAAAGGATAGAGAGAAAGAAAAAAAAAAACAACAAGTTTTAGAAATCACACAAAACTACTACATTACTGTTCGAATTAATAAAAAACCAAATGATTTTGTGACTTGAATTCTAGGTACTTCCTTAGGATGTAATGAGATTATCAGACACATTACTAAGGACCAAGTACAGAATATGAGAATTTTAAATGCTTTAAAAAGATTAGTCATATTTCCTGGATCTCAAAAATGAGGCCAACCCTCCTGTGTCTTAGAAGAAAACACTTATTTGGTGCCAGTGTTGGATTTTATAAATCTCCTTTTGAAAAACAATTAAGAACAAGACTAAAATTTAAGGGCAGAAAAATAAATATGGATATTGGAAGGCTGGGGTTAAAAACTGCAAGAATAGAAATGAGTTGGTGAATGAACAAGTCTAGTCTTCAAAAGCTGCATTGTTTTCACATCAAGTATAAAATCAAGTGCACAATTATCCCAAAAGTAAGGTGAAAAGATCCTTTTGGGGGGGCACCCCAAAGTGATAGAGCTGTAGCAAAAAGGCAAGCCTGTAATCTGCTACTGTGACTGCCCTAAACCCACCCAAAGAACTGCACAGAAGTTGTGAATACTTCTTGGAAGACAAGGAGCAAAGCAACTTCACCAGAACCAAAGTACCCATCAATAATGCTCATGAACAGTCAGTGAGATCAATGAAAGGTACAGTACCATGGGTCAGGGATCATCTCAGAGCAGATAAACACTTGCTCCTGGAGTGTGGCATCAGTGTCACCGCTTGTTCAAATGTAGATTCTGGGCCCCACCCTAGATTTGTACCAGAATCTGCCTGATAGGAAGATCCCCAGATCCTCAGCTGTGCATGAGAGTTTGAGATGCAATGAGACAAAGAACAAGAAGCCCACTCATACAAGCTGAATCAAGTACTTCCAAAGGACGTTCACAAGGGGCCTGGTGGAACCCAACTGCCCTTAACATGCCTCAGCTGTTGCACGGAGCCACAGAAGTCCCCCTTCCTGGATATCTTGGTTGAGCAAACATATCATACACTTTTAGTTATGACTGGTTGGCCCCAGACCCCCTAACTCATCATCCCGAACCTCAGAAGTGCCATAAATTAAGGTATTCAGGGCTGGAGATCACCCCAGGAGGTGCTGTGGACACAGGCATCTCTCTTGTCCTTCTTGTCAGAAGGTGCAGGCCATCTAATCCCAGTGGTCAATAAGAAGCACTCTTCATTAGGTGCCCAGCAGAATGGCTGATGAGACTACTGCATTATATTCCTGGGTTTGCACAGAAGAGCAGGGAGAAAACAATGGAGTGGGCTCCATGATACAGAGCCAAGCTGTCATTTGATTCTCCAGAGCAGCAGATGATGTTTCATTTTGTTTCAAAAGACACTAGGAGCATACTTAAGAACTGTATTTTTGTTTTAAAAAATAACCACAATATTGGTAAGAGGAAAGGAATAGATAAAATGAGCTTATCCCCCAACCCTGAGACTGCACAGCATCAGAGGCATGTGTGTAAAGTCTTTGGACGCCCCTCACACACACATCAAGGTGCCCCTCTAAGGCCTACCAGGCAGGGCGATGCACTCCTGATTGCGGGGCTCCCACTGGCAGTTCTGGTCCAGGGCACAGCTCCTGCAGCTGGTCTTCTTGTTACAGTAGTACATGGGGTTATCCTTGGGGCAGTTCTCATACTTGGAAATGGAGATCTAGAACACAGTGGACAAGAGCTTTCTTCTTATATGCACAGAAAGAACTCATGGTAAGGAACAGGATACTAAAAATCAAATTAAAGAAGCAAACTGCAAATGGATATATAAATAAGATTTATAGGAAGCTGCACCACAGTGAAAATACTTTAGGGAAAGGTTATGCTGAAGGACATGCCTTTACCCGGCAAGGAAGTCATTCACTCTTAAACACCATGCTTCAACCTGTTCATGTGTAAAATGGGAATGTTGAATGTAATGTTTTTCAAATGCCTTCCAAACAGGCTAAATTTATATTTTATGAACTGTTTTACAGACTGTCAAAGAATGTCTTATAAATTGTCAAAGGCTATAAAAGTTGAGTCATCATCTGTGTTGCCTTCTAACCTACATAAAAAATTACAAATACAGACAGTCCTCGGGTTACGTTGGAGACAACGTACATTGTTTCATGGTTACGACGCCATCTCCCATCTAATCTAATAAAAGAGAAACATGTAAATTGACTGCACCTCTGCTACGCCCCAAGCCACGCCCTCCAGCCAATCAGAGCGACTATATGCAAATTAACCCAACCAAGATAGCGTCTGGCAGCCACGGAGCTGGAGCAAGCAGGAGGCTTGGTTGCCCTGGCGATAGAGGAAGCCAAGCTTCCTGCCTGCCCTGGCTGGCTGTAGCCTCCACTCAAGGCAACAAAGTTTCAATTATAGAAGATAAATAAATCCCAGATACCTGCTTCCAGCCAGCCTCCACTGGGAGCTTGGGTGGCTGGGGGCCGTGGCCAGCCTGCAAACAGCCATCAGCCCCTCACCCAGGATGGCCACACCCTCATGGGTGAGAGTCCCCACTGGGGGGCTTGGCCAGCCTGCAAACAGCCATCAGCCACTCACCCAGTCTGGCCAGGCACCCCAGCGGGACCCCCACCCTGATCCGGAACACCCTTCAGGGCAAACCAGCTGGCCCCCACCCATGCACCAGGCCTCTGTCCTATAGAATAAAAGGGTAATATGCAAATTGACCCTAACAGCAGAGCGACTGGGAATGACTGGTCACTATGACACACATTGACCACCAGGAGGCAGACGCTCAATGCAGGAGCTGCCCCCTGGTGGTCAGTGCACTCCCACAGGGGGAGCTCTGCTCAGCCACAAGCCAAGCTGATGGCTGCCAGTACAGTGGTGGTGGTGGGAGCCTCTCCCGCCTCCTCAGCAGCGCTAAGGATGTCCGACTGCAGCTTAGGCCTGCTCCCCGCTGGCAATTGGACATACCCTGAGGGCTCCCGGGCTGCCAGAGGGATGTCTGACTGCCAGCTTAGGTCCAATCCCCCGGGGAGTGGGCCTAAGCCAGCAGGTGGTCATCCCCCGAGGGGTCCCAGACTGTGAGAGGGCACAGACCAGGCCAAGGGACCCCTCTGAATGCACAAATTTTTGTGCACCGGGCCTCTAGTTTATTTATTAAAAAAAAAAAAAGTTCCATCATTTCAACATATGTACATATGTGCTTTATGTTTTTTATTATTTATTTACCACAAGTAAAGGTCAGGAATTGTTATCTTTCTTTTAAATTTTTTTTACTCTTTCACTTCATTACTGCTATGTATATGCTCCATGTGAGTGACGTAGGTGCTTATGTAGGTGGGTTCCAACTTACGGTGAAAATTGCGTTATGTCGCGCCATAGGAACGGATCTCTGATGTAACCAGAGGACCTACTGTATTAAGCATTAATTATGCTAAGCCAAGATATAACATCTATAATAATAAAAGCATGATATGCTAATTAGACTGGACATCCTCCGGACAACCTTGTAGTCGAAGTTGGGGCTGCAAGGGAAGCCCGGGTCCCAGGTGCCAGAGGGAAGCCAGTGCCGGCAGTGGGGGGGTAGGTAGGGGGAGACCTACTCTTGCACAAATTTCATGCATTGGGCTTCTAGTTAGACAAGAAGATTATACAAAGTATATTATTTCCACAATTCAATGTGGCCACTACATGCCTGACCCCCTTTCAGTCTCAAATCTAACTTGCTTCCAAAACCTTGTACAGGCAGAGCTCACCAAGCCTCGCACCAGCTCTAGTACTTAGTCACAGCCATGCTAGGGAGTGGGGCATACTCAAAACACCACAGTCCTTCCTTCTTCTAAAACACCACACGTCAATCCTGTGACAAGGACCTTTAGAATTAGAATGTACTGGGCATCCCTTCCTAAAAGAAAACTTGAGCAATAATAAAATCCAAGTCTACACTGAAGGTTTCAAAAATAACTCCGGGTGAGTTTTTATAACATTCACATTGTAATCTACACATAACCCCACTCTGGACTTTTCCATCCTCTGAAATCCTTGAGAGACAGCCCCTGACCTGGCCTTCCGTGCAGCTGTGGTTCTTAGGGACACAATAGTCGTTGCACCAGTGGCAGTCATTGGTGTTGGCTGTGCAGCTGTAACAATCCGTGTGTTGGTCACATCTGTCATGGTCAAGAGCTATGAAGACAAGAAAAAGTCATCAACTATGACAGCTCTTCCTTAGAAAAGTCACAGGCCATTATAGCTGCTGTTTAGTACAATCTGAGACTGAGGCAAAAAAATGTAAGAAGTGTCGGGAAGTAAAATGATGAGTGCCACTGGCAGGAAAATATATGTCAGGTTAAAACAGATTTAGAAATAAGTAAACAATGTGAAAAAAACACTATTTGTACCCACTCCCCAACAAGGTACACAGAAAGTGAAAAACAAAGAGAGGCTAATTTACTTTAACAGCAAGATAAAATGGAAGTAGCTGTGGTTCTTTAAATATTTTTCTTCCCAAGAAAAAAATCAACTAGCAATAGAATGAACACAACAGAAAGAGCTTCCCTGAAGCCAAACAAAGTAAGGCAGAAGACCGAACCATTCCTCCCAGCTATAAACACAAGGCTAGTCTGGGCACGGGAAGTAGGCAGCACCACAGAACCCCAAAGGAGGCACTTGGCTGAGCTGCATTTTCTACACATACATGTAAGTCCAAGAGTGTAATTTTGAAAACTTCTAGGCTACTAAAGACTTGCTGCATCGCCTATTGACCCTAAATAGGTCAAGGTCAGCGACAAAAGAGAAGCTGCACAACCATATTGCCTCATCTGTTGAATCACTCATGGACATTGCACATGGTGGAAGCCGTGGATAAGAATAGGTAGGGCCCACCCTCACAAAGACTCCAGCATCCTGCTCCTTAGGTTGTTCTTCCTGCCCTGGTCATCACCCCAAGGACTGAGCCCAAACAGAAAGTAGAGTGAACCAGGGAGGCGACTTTGAGATGAGTTAACATAAAATCAGGTCATATTGAACCACCTAAGGTAAGTGAATATTATTTCCTATAAGCTTTCACCTTTAGTTCGAACTTTAAAAATTGGGTTAAAAAATAACTACATCACTGATTTTATCCCTTTTAGGAGACAGGGACTAACCCTACCAGATTCTGATAATCTCAGTTCTCCAGCACTCACCAGCCCGCAGTGAACCTGGAAGGTTATCTGGATGTTCTTACTGCTGATTTCTGTTCAGCTTTAGAGTGAAAGCTGCCTCTACCCACCATTAACTTTCATGGTAACTCTATATCAACCCTAATGGTTAAGAAATTCAGTCAACATACTTTAAATTAATTGAAGTGAACAAATATTCTGCAGAGACATTTTTCTTACTCTTAATAGGCTTTCTCACATATTACTTTGCATTGTGCTCAATGTCAGAGCACAAGGGTAAAAAGCAGGCAAGATGAAAAAGTTTGGAAAGCACAAGAGGTTGTTCTAGAAGCAGGGATCACTACTCATCATCAGCAACTGTCTGTCATGCTATCACTGCTGTGCCCAACTTGAGAAGCTAGAAAAGAACAGTACTTTGCAAAGACAGCAACTTTACCTCTGTCTACGAGAGTAATAGCTTTTACTGGGTTGGCCCTCTTCTCATCCTTAACCTTAGAACTGCATAACACAATATGGTAGCCACTACCCACATGTAGTTTTTTTGTTGTTGTTGTTAATCCTCACCCGAGGATATTTTTCCATTGATTTTTAGAAAGAGTGGAAGGGAGGGGGAGATATAGAGAGAAACATTGATGTGAGAGACACATTGATTGGTTGCCTCCCACACACACCCTGACCAGGGCTGGGGATCAAGCCTGCAACCAAAGTACGTGCCCCCTTGACCAGAATTAAACCTCCCTTCATTCTGTGGACCAACGCTCTATCCCCTGAGCCAAACTGGCTAGGGTCACATGTAATTTTTAATTTACATTAATTAAAATTAAAATTTCAGTTCTTCGGTCATACCAGTCTCATTTCAAAGTATTTAATAGCCACATGTCACTAGTAGCTACCATATTGAGACAGTGCAGATATAGAACATTTCCATCAACACAAAAAATATCATTGGATTGCATTCCCCCAAACCAATTGCAGCTGGGTTCTGGAATTGGTATACAAAGTCCATGCAAAGCCAAGGAGGTTTTTGTCTCTATGATTTGCAGATAGGTTGTAGGAGCCACATGGCATGCTCCCACCCATTGTAAAGAAGTTTACAAACCAATTTTTCATAAAGCCTTTGCATAAGTTATTATTGAATATTTTTGGATAATAATATGAATCTAAAAAGTGTACATATGCTAAGTGCCTTCATGATTCAGATAAAAGGAGAACTCAAATTAATTTAATTTTAAGAAGAAAAAAAAACATACTTCTTTTGGAAAAACATTCTGATTTTAACTTTTCTTCTTGTGCTTCTGTTGCTAACTCCCAGGAAATACACTGAGATGACCCTGTGTCCCACACACACCGGATGCCAGGTCCTGCTGCTAGACAAGCAGCTTCACTCTGGTGTGCTTCACACCGTTCCGAGGTAAATACCAGGATGTCACTGAGGAGGAGACTATTGAAGCCACCAAACACATACATGGAGCTAAAAGGAAAAACAAAAAAGGGAGAGTAGTTTACTAAAACCTTAAGTAAACAAAGTCATGATAAACTATTTACAATCTTCAGACAAACCTTACATATCAATAGTTCTGTAAGAAATTATTTTTTTCAGGATCTCAAAAAATATTCTTATATCTTTCTCATACCTTTCCCTCTCAATTTCATCCTAGCCTGCCCTACCCAGAATAATTCCAATAATCAACCTACTCTTTGCATAACTATATTAAAAAGTTCTCATGATAACATAGTGACTTTTAACTATAATTCCCTGGAATATTTTACTGTCAGGGTAAGCAAATGTCTTTCAGAGTTAAACACATAATTGTGTATCTGCATGTTCTTAAATATTAAAAATATATATAATTTTAAAAGCATAAAATCTCCTTAATTAAAATTGTGTAATGATTCATAAACCAATAAGAAACAGATAAAAATGCACATGAAAATTTAGTACACAGTAAAAGTGGCATCTTAAATTAGTGTGGACTTTCCAGTAAATGGTATGGAGATAACAAAATAAACATGGAAAAATATAAAATTTCTCTATGGACTCAGGATAAATTCCAAATGGACCAGAGAACCACTTGAAAAAAAAAAACACACACACAAAAAACGAACCCATACATGCACTTTAGAGGTTAGAAGACAATACAGGTGAGCTACTCTATAACAACACCCATGACTTAAAATCCAGAAGGCAACAACAAAAAAATACTGAAAAACTGATTATATAAATTAAAAAGAATTTTGCATAGGAAATACAGCTATAAGCAAAGTAAAAGACAAATGATACACTGTGAAAAATTATTTACAAGCTGTTATAGAAAAAGAATATTCCTAATATAGAGACAGCTTCAGCCAGTTTGCAAGAGAAAAATGTAAATGACCTCAAGCATATGAAAAGATGATTAACTTCAATTATAAGAAAAATGCAAATTAAAATTACAATGAGAAAGCATCTCTCCCCTAAAAAGACAATGACTGTGAGGCAGTAGGGAAACAAGCACTCTCATACGTGGCTGCTAGGCATGCAAATAGGACGAGCCTAAAAAGGGAAATTTGGCAAAATCTAACAAAACTCTGTATTTATCTTTTGAACCTGAAATCACATTTCCAGAAGTCTATCAAAAAGATATAAAAGCAAAATTAAAAAAAGAAATGCACATGAGGCTATTCACTAAAGCAATAACGGTAATAGCAAACACACAAACAACCCAAAATGTCCATCGTCTGGGGATGTGATGTATAAACTGTGGTGCATCCACACAATGAAATAGTAGGTAGCTGTAAAAAGGAATCAGGAGGATTTCTACATACCGCTATAGAGCGATCTCCAAGATATACTGTTATGTGAATTTTAAAAAAGGAAATGCTAAATCTCCAAGATATACTGTTATGTGAATTTTAAAAAAGGAAATGCTAAAGGAAGGAAGGAAGGAAGGAAGGAAGGGCACTTATTTGAGGGAAGAAAGAGCTCAAACACACACACAAATTCATTTTTCTCTTCAAAACAACAACTAAGTTTCTAACACACACACAAATTCATTTTTCTCTTCAAAACAACAACAAAGTTTCTCTTTAACTTATCTTAACAGTCTTAGAAACAATGACCAACCCAGTAGCAAAAGATAAGAGTAGCACTTACATTGTGGTATTTTTTTGAGGGGTGTGGTCTTTTCCCCGCCCCTCAAAAAAAATTTATGACTCTTTAGGAAAAAATCTAATTTCATGTCTGGGGCAAAAAAAGTTTGTGATGAGCCTAGAAGACCTTGGCACACCAGACAAAAAGGAAGACTATTGGTGTACCAAAAAGACTCAGGAGCTAACATGAAGAGATGCTTGCTGGACAAAATTGGGAAATGTTTGAAATTTAATAAGAATAAAAACTAAAATGGATTAAAACAAATTAAATACTTTTAAATCTGTAAGTTCTTAATGATATATGCCACCTTCTCCTCCAAAGAAACTCATTTGTCAACTTTGTAGAATGCTAAAAAATCAGTTCATCATTTTGAAAATTGGTAAATCAAGGGGGGAAAAAAATCAACCCTATGCAGTGATCTTGCCAAAATATTGAAGTGAATCTGACTGAATTAATTTGCAAGAATTTCAAGAGAGAGTCCAATATATTTTTTGAAAACATGGGAGTGCAATAATCAAAACCTAGACTACAGGAAACTCTACATGATAACTCAGTTTATTTTTTTAATATTTTTTTTATTGATTTCAGAGAGAAAGAGAGAGATAGAAACATCAATATGAGAGAGAATCATTGGTTGGCTGCTTCCTGCACACCCCTATTAGGGCCTGGAGCCTGCAACCCAAGCATATGCCCTTGACTGAAATCAAACCCAAGACCCTTCTGTGGCTCTATCCACTGAGCCAAACCAGCTAGGGCCAACCCAGTTTATTTTTAACAAATAAGGGGGGATATGATGAACAGGGAGACTATCAACAGAAACTTAAAATACATTTCATCCAATTGTAATATATGGATCTTATTTGGACCTTCATTTGAACAAATTAAATTTTTAAAAATTATGAGGCAAGAACTTCTGGTCAAGATGACAGTGAGGTAAATGAGGTACTCAAATCTTCTCACAACCACATCAAAATTATAACTAAACTACAGAACAATCATCATTCAGAACCACCTGAAATCTAACTGAATTGAAGTCCTACAACTAGGGATTTAAAGAAGCCACATTGAGACTGGGAGGAAGGGTGGAGTCGTGGAACAAGCCAGGCCCACACCCATGTGGCATTTTAAAATTGGAGGGCTATCTCAACTGCAGAGGTCATCTCTGAGGAGCGAGGAGTCCTGGACCACACCAGGCCTCCCAGTCCAGGCTTCCAGAGTCAGGAAGAAAAGTCTCCATAACTTCTGGCTATACAAAGCAACAGGGTTGTGGCTGAGTGAGACAGAGGGCTGCTGGAGTCCCAGGTAGTTCCTCTTAAAGATCTGTGCAAGGACTTACTCAGACTCACACCCTCTGAGTTCTAATACTAGGGCAGCAGCTTAAAAGGAACCAGGGACTTATAAGGAAGAACTGAAGTGTCTACCATCATGATGAGAGCTGGGGAATGGGGGAGAGGGGCAACTTTCTGCCAGACTACAGTGCTGGCAGAGGCCTTTGTTCCTTTCCTGATACTCAGCCCTACACACTAGTCACTGGCCCTAGTGATTCCCTGAGATCCGTCACACCCAACTTGTGGGCCAACCCAAGATGTTTCCAGTGGCTTTTACATACAAATGGCCTTTCTTACCTCATGCTTTGGACTTTCCTAAAATCTCTCAAACAAGCAGCATCTGGCCTCTGTGTACTCTGTACCTCTTGCTAACTGGCCCCAGGCCTGGCATTAGCAGCAGCTGGCCTTAGTTTGCAGTTTGGCCTCTCATGGGCACCTCCAAGCCCAGTACAAGGAGCAGCCATCTGTACATTGCTCTGTAGCTCATGCCAAGTGGCTCCAGGCAGGGCACAGGCAGTGGCTGACCTTGTACCACCCGGGGGTCACCAGAGTCAGTGCACCTAGGGAACAGCTTGACCATGCCAGATTACAACCCTACCACCTCCATGAGCAACACACTCAAGGGGTGGACTCGGTAAGTGACAAAGCCCCACTAAAGCAATTCTTGTTCCATAGGGTGAACTCCTGCATAGCAGCTCCTCTGCTGTCATCACAGCTGGTCCTAACAGCTGATTGGCCTGGGGGTCAATCCCTCCCAGTGACACCAATAGCAATCAAGGCTCAATTACAACAGGTCAGTGCCCACACAGGGATGCACCTGGAGAGCCCCGCTTAGCTGACTGAGGAGGCTGTGCCACTGGGCTCTACAGGACACCTACTGCATAAGGTCACTCTACCATGTCCGAGAGACCTAGCAGCTCTACTTAATACATAAAAACAAACATATGGAAGCAGCCAAGATGTGGAAACAAAGAAAGAGGTCCCAAATGAAAGAACAGGAGAAGTCTCCAAAAAAGAACTAAAAGAAATGAACATAAGCAAACTACCAGATACATAATTCAAAGCAATGATTATAAGGATGCTCAAGGAACTTAGAACTTCAACAGCATGAAAAAGGAAATAGAAACCATAAAAAAGAACCAATCAAAAATGAAGGATACACTAAGTGATATGAAGAATAATTTTAAGGGAAAGAACAGTAGAGTAGATTAAGTTGAGAATCAATGCAGCAATTTGGAATATAAGGAAGCAAAAAAGACCCAATCAGAACAGCAAAAAGAAAAAAGTATCCAAAAAAATGAAGATAGTGTAAGGAGCCTCTAGGAAAACTTCAAGTGTACCAACATCTGCATCATGGAGGTGCCAGAAGGAGAAGAGAGAATAAGCAAGAAATTGAAAAACTATTTGAAAAAATAATGACAGAAAACTTCCCTAACCTGGTAAAGGAAAAAGACATACAAGTCCTAGAAGCACAAGAGTCCCAAACAAGATGAACCCATATAGGCACATAGCAAGACACATCATAATTAAAATGCCAAAGATTAAAAAAAAGAGAGAGAATCTTAAAAGCAATGAGAAAAAAGCAGTTAGTTACCTATAAGGGAACTCCTATAAAACTGTCAGCTGATTTCTCAACAGAAACTTTGTAGGCCAGAAGGGAGTGGCAAGAAATATTCAAAGTGATGATTATTCAACCCAGTAAAGCTATCATTTAGAATCGAAGGACAGATAAAGAGCCTCCCAGACAAGAATAAGATAAAGGAGTTCATCACCACCAGTATTATATGAAATGTTAAAAAGTTTTCTTTAAGAAGAGAAAAAGAAAAAAGAAGAACAATAAAATGGCAATAAAATACATATCCATTAACAATTGAATCTAAAAAAACAAAATAAACAAACAAGCAGAATAGAAACAGACTCAGAGATAAAGAGAATATTTTGATGGTTGCCAGATGGGTGGGGAGTTAAGGAAGATGGGTGAAAAAGGTGAAGGGCTTAAGAAGTACGAATTGGTTGTTACAGAATAGTCATGGGGTTGTACGGCATAGGAAATATATCAATAATATTCTAATAACTATGTATGGTGTCAGATGGGTATGAGATTTATAGGGATGACCACTTAGTAAGTTATATAAAGTTTTAATCATTGGTGTATACACCTGAAACTAATATAATATTGTATATCAAATGTATTTGAAAAATAAAAAACCATTTCAAAAATAATAAAAAATAATAAAATTAGAAAATAAAATTTATGAGGCAATTGGGAAATATGAACAATGAGTGGTAGTAAATTACTATTCATTTTTTAAAGTGTGATAATTGTATCATGGTTGTATGTTTTTAAAAAGTATCTTTAAAAGATACCAAATCAATCCTCATTATTTGTAGATTCCATATTTATGAATATACCCAGTTGCTAAAATTTATTTCTGACTCCAAAACCACTACTTGCAGATTTGCAGTCACTTGCAGACATACATATACAGAAAAATTTGAGTTGTCCAACATGTACATTTCCAGGTGAGGTCAAACAAGATGATGCTCTTTTCCTGTTTTAGTTCTCATACTATACACAAGTGTCCTTTTGATAGTTTGTTTAGTGCCATGTGTTTTGTTTTGGTTTTTAATATATTTTTACTAGATGCCCAGAGCACAAAATTTGTGCATGGGTAGGGTCCCTAGGCCTGGTCAGCAATCAGAGCCGATCAGGTTCCTTACCTCCCCGCCTCCTCCTTCCCTCGCTCCCTCAGCGCCCCACCACCACCACTGGTCGCCCGCCATGTTCTGCGCCACCCCCTGGTGATCAGCACACATCATAGCAAGCAATTGAACTCACGGTCTCCCGGTCGAACTCCTGAGGGGACACTTTGCATACTAGCCTTTTATATATATAGATTGATTTCAGAGAGAAAGGGAGAGGGATAGAGAGACAGAAACATCAATGATGAGAATTATTGATTGGCTGCCTCCTGCACGCCCCCTACTAAGGAGGATTGGGCCTGCAACCCAGGCATGTGCCCTTGGCCGGAATTGAACCTGGGACCCTTTAGTCCGCAGGCCCACACTCTACCCATGAGCCAAACCGGCTAGGGCTGTCATGTGTTTCTTGCATGTTTGTGCTTTATGTTGGTGATTCTGCTGTTTTAAATGGTCCCAAAGCACTTCATAGTGTTGAAGTGCTGTCCAGTGATGTGGCCTATAGAGAAAATACATGCATTAGATGAGCTTCATTAAAGCATGAGTCATAGTGCTGTTGACTATGAACTCAATGTTAATGAATCAACAATACATATTAAATAAGGTGTGTCGTTAAACAGAAACACACATAAAACAAGATTACAAATTGATTAGTTGATGAAAATGCAAGAAACTTGTAAGAACCTAACCCTGCATTTCCCTAGGTGTAAAAACTCAATGTTCTCTAACTCAGTGTTTGTGGTGACTTTACAGAATATAATTATACCACAAAAAATGATAATCAACTATATTCTGATGAAAGTATATGTCAGGGAGCTTCAAAATAATCTGGAATGGGTTAGGGTTTCAAATTTTCATGATAAAAAGTTTTAACTTTTTTTTGGGGGGGGGGGACCCACAGTACATGATTTATCTGAATTTTACCTAAAATCTCTTTTTCTATTTCAAGACTACATTAAATTGCTAGCACTAATATTAAAATTGGGTCTATTACCTCTTGCATATTAACATGTAATAATGAGTTTAATTTTTTTTAAATATATTTTATTGATTTTTTACAGAGAGGAAGGGAGAGGGATAGAGAGCCAGAAACATTGATGAGAGAGAAACATCGATCAGCTGCCTCCTGCACACTCCCCACTGGGGATGTGCCCGCAACCAAGGTACATGCCCTTGACCAGAGTCGAACCCAGGACCCTTGAGTCCGCAGGCCGACGCTCTATCCACTGAGCCAAACCGGTTCTGGCATGAGTTTAATTTGTTCTTAGTCTAAGGGTAAAAAAAAAAAAATCTAATAGGATCATTCATAGTTTCTAAAAAGAACAGAATCCAAACCATCCTATTCATTTACACATTTTTTCAGAAATTTCTAGTTGACATGTACTATGTATAAAGAAATCTCTGGTTTCTGCTCCTCAGCCTCTAAGAGTCAGTAGAAAGCTCAGCTGTACCTCTCAGCTGCTTCAACTGGATAAGGAAACTCCCACAGGCTAAAGCAGCTCAATTTATCTCTTTGGACTCTATTCATCTCTTATTTTCTTTTTCTTTTTAAATATTTTTATTGATTTCGGAGAGGAAGGAAGAGGGAGAGATAGAAACATCAATGCTGAGAGAGAATCATTGATCGGCTGCCTCCTGCATGCCCCACACTGGGGAACGAGCCCACAATCCAGACCTGTGCTCTGACTGGGAATAGAACCCCGACCTCCTGGTTCCTAGGTTGATGCTCAACCACTGAGCCACACCAGCCGGACGACTCATCTCTTATGTTCTGCTCAGTATTTCTTCATTATCTTGTTAAATCCTTACTGTATACTTTTCAGTTGTCTTTCAATGGGAGACTTCACTGGCTGATGCCAGAAGTGAAAGTCCTTCTTGGGTCCAGTGCCAAGATTTTCAGCCTTTTAAGTCAAGCCAAACTCACCTCTGGAAACATGGTGGTGAGAGTCTCTGGTGGTTTGGAATGCTATGTTTGAACAAGGCTGCAAGCAGCTCAGAAGGTAATGGAGAAGGCCCTAGATATTTTTTAACAGATCCATCAGCAAAGAGTGTAATATAATCCTTACTAGCTTAAACTGTTTAAGCAAAACCATTAGCTGATTACTAAACAATAATGATCTAGAGGCAATTCCTAACAAGTCAGGTTGAAAAATAAAAACAAGAAAAAACAACTAGAAAAATCAGCAAACAGACTCCACAGAATTAGTCTAGGCAAGCCACTAAGCAAACAACAAAAACAACAACAGTTGGTGGTGATGGTGGGGGAATGAGAATCTGTATTTGCTACAACATATTACCAAAAATGTTTAGTTTTCAACCAAATATTACAAGCTATGCAAAGAAACAAAAAATGTGACCCATACAGAGGAAACAAAACAACAATCAATCAAAACTGTCTCGCCCTAGCTGGTTTGGCTCAGTAGATAGAACATAGGCCTGTGGACTGAAGGGCCCCAGGTTCTATTCCAATCAAGGGCACATGCCCGGGTTGCAGGCTCAATCCCCAGCAGGGGGTGTGCAGGAGGCAGCTGATCAATGATTCTCTCTCAGCATTGATGTTTCTATCTCTCTCTCCCTCTCCCTTCCTCACTGAAATCAATAAAAATAAATAAATAAATAATGGCTGAAAACTTCCACAAATTTTAATAAAATGACTAATCTATACACCCATAAAGCTCAACCAACTCCAAGATTGACACAAAAGAGATCCATACTTAAACACATTATAACCAAGTGTCTTTTTTTTTTTTTTTTTTTTGAGAGAGAGAAACATCGATTGGTTGCCTTCTGCATGCACGTGGGAATTGAACCCACAACCTAGGTATGTGTCCTGACCAGTAATGGAACCCACGATCTTTTGGCATATGGGACAATATTCGAATCAACTGAATCACACCAGCCAGGGTGTGGCCTAAAATTGTAAAAGGTGAAGTAAACAACAGTAATAACAGCAGGAACAAAAAATTAACATGATTAGGCTGTTTAACAAATAAAAAATCTTTAAAGTACAGTGTAAGGAACAGTGGAAAGGCCACTCTGAATTGCCCTTATATTACAGAGCCTTCTCGACGGAAGGCTGATAAAGAGTGCTGTTAGTTTGGGCCAGGCATTTTGACCAATGCAATGCAGACTTCACATTATTAGGAACTATAAACTTGTTCTATATGAAGCTTCACAATTTCCCCATCTCTGTTCCCCTACCTGATTCTCCCCTATCTGACTTGCCCTCTCCTTTTTTCAAATCTCCTTACCATTCAGATCTAAGTTCCATGAACAGTAGCAAATGACAGAGGGCATAAGACAGTAATTGCACATAACTTTTGTGGTCCCATGCATTCAGACAACATCAAACATAGCATACTCCTGCATGCTAACAAAAAAACATATCAACAAACACAGCATTAAAAGAAATTCAAATGCACATCAAGTATTTTAAATATAAATCAGGAAATTAATGCCTACATAATCCTGTGAAAAACAAACAAGGTGGGAAAATGCTGAGAATAATATGCAAACCCAATTCCATTTCTTCGTATTTTACTTCATTTTCATTTTAAACCCAAGAGAAAAGGAGCAAGCACTTCTTTTCCAATTACCTGTTGTGTAGGACTGCTGAGTGGCCAAATCTGTTGACATCATGGTGCAGATCAGGTCTGGGAAGCACTGACCAGCGGTCACAAGCTAGGAGCAAGAAAACACATTTCAAATGAGACTGCCATTCATCATCAATAGGAACTGGCATTTTCTCCGGGAAGAAGACTATACAAAAACAATCACATAAAATGTTTCTCTTGCTTTTTCTGAGTCATACCTTCTTTTCTGAGGTAAAATGCAGCAGCAGCAGAATAGCAAGGTATGGAAGAAAGGCAGGACCACGTGGCAATTCTAATTAGCGAATCCAACATCCCTGACACCCACACCACTCACTCTGTTGCCTATCAATTTCACTCACTAGAATGTTTTTTAACTTAAGCAAATTTTTCAGAACTTATGTAAGTAAAACATATGGGTTCCATAATTATTTTCCACTCTATACTGACTTGCCCAAACAGTAGCTAAAATAGGAAAATACAGGTAGAAAATTAAAACTTAAAAAAAATTCAAACTTTCTTTAAATTTTTAAAAGTCCTTTTGTAGAGCCCTGGCTGGTATTGCTCAATAGGTTGGCGCACGTCCTGTCCACCAAAAGGTAGTGGGTTCAATTCTTGGTCAGGGCACATACCTGGGTTGTGGGTTCAATGATCCCTGGTCAGGGCAGGTACAGGAGGTAACTGATCAATGTTTCTCTCTCACATCAATATTTCTCTCTCTCTCCCTCTCTCTAAAATCAATAAAAAATATATACTCAGGTGAGAAAAATAAAATGAAATAAAATAAAAGTCCTTCCCTAGATCTCTTAGATCTACTAATTTTCCTTTGTTCTGATCCATGCTATCAACTTTTCTTGCTGGTAAACCACACCAAACTCACACGTACTGTCTGCTTCTGAAATACTTAGACATTCACACTCACTAAGCAAAGGTTCTTCTACTCAATCTAGACATTTATTCAACCTTGACAACAACAGCTTTCCTTTCCTTCTCCTACCAGCCCAGACTCTGTGGTCTTCCTCACATGGAGAACAGAGGCTTCCTGCCTACTCACCTTACTTCCTTCCCTAAAACCACAGTGTGGCAAAGACCCTTTCTTCTTAGTGCACTGGCTTTCATCACAGCATTTAAATATGCCCAAACCCTGACCAGTGCAGCTCAGTTGGTTGATTGGTGTCCTGTGTACTGAGGGGCTACAGATTCAATTCCTGTTCAGGGCATGTGGGAGGCAGCCGGTAGATGTTACCCTCTCACATCAATGTTTCTTTCTCCATCACCCTTTCCTTTCCTCTCTCTCTAAAATCAATAATAAAAAGATATTTTTTTAAAAATTAAAAATAAATAAAGATGCCCAAGAAGGTACTCAACTCTCTCCTTCTACCCCTCACAGATAATTTTTTTTAAATTAAAATAGTCAATATTCACTGTGTAGATCTCACCTTATGTTATTTTTTAGCCTCCTGCAATCTGGATTACTCATCCATGTCTAAAGAATCTATCTATATATATAAAAGCCTAAGTGACCGAGCAACCAAATGACCAGTCAACTGGTTGCTATGATGCGCACTGACCACCAGGGGGCAGACACTCAGCGCAGGAGCTGCCTCCTAGTGGTCAATGCACTCCCACAGCAAGAATGCTGCTCAGCTGACCAATGGGCGCCAGACGCAGGGCTCATGACTGGCCGCAGCAGCCGGGAGACCTCAGCGGAGCAGCAGTGAGCCTACTGAGCAGCGGCAGCAGGCCCAGCGGGGCCTGGATGAGCAGGAGCAGAAGGCAGGAATGGCAGGTGGCATTGGACTGCCAGTTTCAGCCCAATCTCCACAGGCTACGCCGAGGGACCCCATCGGTGCACAAATCCACGCACCGGGCCTCTAGTAATAAATAACCTCTGTTGCTAAATCTGAAAGACTCCCCAGGACTTATTTTAATCCCTCTGCAGCCATTGTTAACAGCTCCCTCACAGGATGCCAATCATGCCGCACTTTCCTCCTACTCCTCTGACATGCTTTCCCAGTCTGCATGCTGTTTCTGACTTCTTTATCCATCTATCTGTCCTCTGGCTCTTTGCTCATCCCTGATGACATATGTCCCCTATAGAATTTTATCCTGGAGCTTCCCACTGATCTCGGCATTGCTCCAATCCCACAATCATCTCCAGCTGAACCTTCTCCCAAACTCATCTTACTCACCTTCTCCCAGACCCCGTCGGATAGGATACTTCTATTTCCAGCCTTGTAAAAAGCACCATCTACCCTGGCTCACACTAGATACCTGAGAATCAAGATGCTTTCATCTCTCTCAAAATACACCCCAGGTAATCCTCAAGTTCCCAGGAGTTCTCAAAACCATCTATTTCTTTATCCTCATTGCCACTTTCACAGCCTTAGTTCAAACCCTCAAGACTTCAGCCTTAGAACTTCCATCTTGCCCCTTCCCAACTATTCATCACATGCCACAAAGAGATCTTCCTAAAACACAAATACGATTCTGTCACCTCCTCTGTAAGATTCTTCAAAAAGCCTAAACTCCTCATCATGACATCACAGGTCTTTCAAGATCTGACCAGAGTCTGAAAGCTGCTTGGGTCTCTAGTTCAGTTGAAGCCATTCCTCTCCTATGTGCAGCTATAATACAGCCAAAACTATGTACAGGCCTCAAGTATGGCATGGTCCCTTTTAGCCTCCACCTGAGAAGTCCACCTCACTTCACTTAGCTGATTTTCCAGTGTTCCTCAGGACCTAGCCTAAAGGGCCCCTTCTCAAAAAGGCTTTCCCCAACTATAACCCTTTCCCCTATATGTTAGGAATGTTCATAGGTACTCTCATACATTCATCTTAGAGCAAGTAACACCCTGAATTGCAATTATATTGTATACTCAGTTCTCTACCTCCCACGCTATGAGGCCAAGGGCAATGTAGAAGCTGAGTGGCTGGGTCAGAAATGAACATCCAATGATGATATTTATACAAAAGAATGGCTAGCATTTATTCTGCATGAATAAATACTGCCCTCTTCTGGAATAATGTATTACCACACTAGAATTTTTAAAAGAATGTGAAATTGGTATCTAGGGAACCAACTTAACACAATGCTGGTGGTCAACAACTACATGACACTACATCTGTAGCACAGAGAGCCCAGTTATCCCAACCCATCCTCAAAAATTAACATTCAACTAATTAAAGGAGTAATTTCAAAAAGAATTTAATATAGAAGTCATGTTTTTTAATAGATGTAACATTAGTCAAATTAACATAAAATACTGTTCAGGCCTCTTTCAAATGGCCTGACCATTTTTTTTTTTTTTTTTTGGCCTGACCATTTTTAACTAGCGATATTTTCCATTTCCTTTAAAATGTTACTTATAGACATAAAAGAATCTTGAAGATAAAGAATTTTGGGGAAACTTACCAATGTCATAAGCCATGAAATCTGAAGAAAAGCATTTGGCGCCATGGCTCATGGATGTGTCATTGTGTGTGTTTCCTCCAAACACCAGCATGGTTCCACTCACTATCACAGCTGTGTGCAAGTAACGGAAAAATCGGCTGTCCTTAAGAATGGTCCTTTTGAGATTTAAAAATAATAAATACAAGTTTAGTTTTTTACAATACTTATCACCTATTCATTAATGCAAACATAACCTTTTGTTAGTTTTTTGTTAATCCTCACCCAAAGATATTTTTGCCATTGATTTTTAGAGACAGTGAAAAGGAAGTGGTACCGAGTGTCTGAAAATTGAAAACCATTCAAAAAATACCAAGCATTTTCTTGATCAACCTACTATAAGATTATAGAATACTGCAACAAAATAATACTAGCTACTTTATTACCTTCTGCTTATTTCCCAATTTCTTTGTAACACATAAGAGAATTACCTGCTAGGCCTAAAGAAAACACAGCACATTGCCCTAGCTGGTTTGGCTCAGTGGATAGAGCATTCGCCTGCGGACTGAAGGGTCCTGGGTTTGATTCCAGTCAAGGGCACATGCCTGGGTTGCAGGCTCGATCCCCAGTAGGGGGCGAGCAAGAGGCAGCCGATCAGTGATTCTCTCATCATTGATGTTTCTATCTCTCTCTCCCTCTCCCTTCCTCTCTGAAATCAATAAAAATATGTTTTAAAAAAACATATCGCACATTTTCCTAGAAATTGTCAGAATTCACACCTTAAAACGAAAGCTCAAGAAAAAGCACCTACCACATCTGGGTGTCCACATCGTATCTGTAGAGATCATCTGCGAGCCGGTATTTATTGGCGCTGAAAGCCTTGTAGCCTCCATGAACATAGACTGCTCTGGTCCTGTGGTCATAGACACTGCTATGGCCATAACCCCCTTGGACAAGGGCACCCTGGGTATGTAATATACTCCACGTATTCTTATCTGAAATTGGAAAACAGTTAAAGGCAAATGTTACAGGCTCCTCTTCTCTAATACTTAAAACTACCAAATAGCTTAGGACAGTGGTCGGCAAACTCATTAGTCAACAGAGCCAAATATCAACAGTACGATTGAAATTTCTTTTGAGAGCCAAATTTTTAAACTTAAACTATATAGGTAGGTACATTGTTATTAACTTAATTAGGGTACTCCTAAGCTGGCCTTTGCTAAAAACGTCCTCAATCTGACTGAGGTACGTTCGCTGAGGTCGACCCCTTCCAACTCTCCCATCCACACTCGTCTTGTATACTTGTTTCGTCTCCTTTCCGAAAACTGACTTCTGCGCATGGGCCACGAAGTTTCAATCGCACTGTACGTGCGCGCCCGCACGTGGTATTTTGTGGAAGAGCCGCACTCAAGGGGCCAAAGAGCCACGTGTGGCTCGCAAGCCGCGGTTTGCCGACCACTGGCTTAGGACAAGAGAAGAGATTCTGGGAGACCTGATACATATAATTTTTTTATCATTTTATTTTTAAAGAAAGGCCACATAAAACTAATAAAGTCAGGTGCCAAACTTCAATTTCTTAAATGTTTTAATGTTCTAATACGCCATATTGGAAAAGAATTACATTAAATTTAAGAGTCAGAGTCCCCTCAATTGAACACTTAATTCCCCATGTCAATACACAGATATACTTTATGGGTCTGCTTTCTCAAAATATAAATTATAGCTGGTACTCCTATTCCATCACAACAGATAAAATAAAATTTAACCAAAGGAAAGATTTTTATAATAAGAGGAAATAACACTTCCCTAAATCAGTCTATGAAGAGCTAACCAAATATGTTTTTTCTTCAGAATGTGTTGTTTTGAATTATTTTTATTAATTAATTTATTTTATTTTCAGTTCCTAAAGCATTTAGTGCCGTCTTTGACTCTGTGCCCAATTGACAGTAACAAATATACTGTATACTACATAGCAGCACCATAATCTGAATTTCACTAGTAATACATCAATGTTAACTGCATTTCAAGATAAAGTACTAGGCCAAGGTTAGGTTGAATCTTGTTAAAAAGCCATAATAATTGAAGTTTTAAATTTGACATTCAAAAAAAATCACTGGAAAAATATACCTACCCAAGTCATATTCCTGTATACTGCTTATATACCCATAGAGAGGGCAGTGCCCGAAGATGACCAGCATGACCACCCGGCCCGTCTTCAGCGTGACGATGTGTGCTGAGTGCCCAACCACTGCATACTGCTCCTTGGCTTTTGGAGCCAACAACACCCACGATTCATTGTGAATATGAAACACCCTCAGCTCATTGGTCACATTCCCCGTTGAATCAATTTTCCCTCCGTACATGTAAATTTTATCCTGGGGGGAAAATGCAAACAAAATTCTAAAAACATCGAAAGGATTAAATCTGAGAACAGAAAAAGAGCAGTTCAAAACCTCAATATTATTCTTAGCTTAAAAAGTGTTAGTGAAATGCCACTTTCAGTGAATGTCTAGGAAAAAGATGGCAAAAGAAACAAAATGAAATAAATCATATTCTAGATCTCTAATTTGCCACTTTTCTTGGACTTTCTCAAGCAAAACCTTTTACGGTGATAAAATGACTGGAAAAATAAAGTTGAAAAGTTCCCTCATCCTACCATAAACCACAAAAACAAGGAAATGAAAATGATTACTTAGTTATATTGCAATGTGGCTATTCTTGGCTAACCTTGCTAATATAAGAAACATAAACACTAATCAACATTATATTAATTTTTAACCATCTGGTACCACAATCATAATATCCTAGTACAATTTTAATCCATTGAAATTTCTCGTGTTAAATTTGTTTCAACTTTAACTTCCACTTGTATATTAGCCAATTATAAACCCCTCCAGCCCTAGCCAGTCTGGCTCAGTGGATAGAGCTTAGGCCTGTGGACTGAAGGGTCCCAGGTTTGATTCCAGGCAAGGGCATATGCCCGGGTTGCAGGCTCTGTCCCCAATAGGAGGTGTGCAGGAGGCAGCCGATCAATGATTCTCTCTCATCACTGATGTTCCTATCTCTCTCTCTCTTTCTCCCTTCCTCTCTGAAATCAATAAAAACATATTTTAATATACTACTATATATATAAACCTTTCCAAATAGAAAGTTTTCCCCCAGTTAAAAAAAACGACACTGAAGTCAAAATCATAGAGACAAAAAAGCAGAATGGTACTTATCAGGGGCTAGGGGAGGAAGAAATGAGGACTTAAGTGTTTAATGGGCATAAGTTTCAGTTTTCTTAGATGAAGTTACAGAGATGGATGGTGATGATGGTTGTACATTATGAATGTATTTAATAACACTGAAATTTATACTTAAAAATGGCAAAGATGATAAATTTTATGTGATATGTATTTTACCACAACCAAAAGGTTAGGGGGGAAAACATTAAATAGCTTTTCAACCACATAATATGAAAAAGTCACTATGGAAGAGTTGAGTTTCTAGCTCGGTAGAGTGGAGACATTTTACCTTGTATAATGCTAAGGAATGGCCATATCTAATAACCACATTGTTCACAGAACGGTTCAGTGCAAGCCACTCCCTAGAAGCAAGGTCATACCTACAAAACAAACAGATCATATTTTCACTCAAATGACAGAACAGAATATCTTGTACTCTTTTATTTGTGATAGAATCTAGCTTGGAGATGCTCATTACATCTGACGTGCATATGAATAGGCACCTGGGTGAACAAACCTCATATCTGAGCCTACTATGCATATGAGAACTCAGGAAGGAGGGCTGGTCTGCATAGCCCTGGGACAAGAATGAAAGAAATCTATTGGAAGTTTCTAATGATTCCTGAAAACCTCTTCTACACACAGTCTAAATAACTTGAAGATGGCATTATACTCAAGGAACTTAAACTTTTATTACCATAACCCATCTTTTATTTAATCATGTGAAATTAAAGATAGGTACTCAAAGGGGAATGATCTATCTATATATATAAAACCCTAAGCAACCAGTTGACTGGTTACTATGACGCGTACTGATCACCAGGGGGCAGACGCTCAACACAGAAACTGCCCCCTGGTGGTCAGTGCACTCCCACAGCGGGAGCGCTGCTCAGCTGACCAGCGGGCCAACAGGCACCAGACGCGGGGCTCACCTTTCCCGCCTCCATGGCAGTGCTACTGAGTGGCAGCAGAAGGCGGACTGCTTCACCCACTACTATACCCCTCAGGGATTGTAAGACTGCCAGTTTTGGCCCGCCGAAACTGACAGTCAGACATCCCCTGAGGGGTCCCGATTGCGAGAGGGCACAGGCCAGGCTGAGGGACACCACCGGTGCACAAATCCATGCACCGGGCTTCTAGTAATTAAATAAGAGAAAATTCCTAACTACCTTTTCTTTACCTAATTGATTTTTTAAATTCATATTTTAAGAAAGCTATATCATTATAGTATTTCAATTATAGTATAAATACATTTTATACCAAAAAACTACCAAAAAGATAAATCATCTATACTCCTGCTTTGTAGCTTAGTCACATTCAATATCTTAGAATAGTCACTTTTAGTTTGTCTTCGAGAAAAATACCACTCTACTGGTTTTTATTAAAATCACAATATTCATTATGAAGAATGTAACCAATGGCCCTGGCTGGGTTGCTCAGTTGGTTAAAGCATCATCTCAATATGCCAAAGCTGATGGTTCGATCCCCAGTCAAAAATCTATCTTCCTTCCTCCTTCCTTCTTTCCTTCCTTCTTTCCTTCCTTCCTCTCTCCCTCTATCCCTCCCTCCTTTCCTTTCTCTTTCTTTTCTTTCCTTCCTTTATTCTCTCCCTCCCTCCGTCCCTACCTCTCTCAATCCTTCCCTTCCTCTCCTTCCTGTTTCTCTAAAATCAATAAATAAAAATTTGAAAAAGGTGTAACAAATGCAAAAATATAGAGTTAAAACCTTAAAAAATGATCCCACATTTAATCACCTAAAAGTCAATATCATTAACATTAAGTAAACATCATTCCAGACATTTTTGTATGCATATATACAGATAGAAGAATCGAGTAACAATATGTATTTATAGAAAGGAGATCATGCTATGGATGATATGTTTAATAAATACTATTAATTTTAATATAATTTAATAGAAAAAATCAAAGGGAAAAACAAATGCTATTGTTACACGTTAAAAGTTTATTTTTTGTAAGTTTCCCTAAGTAATCCAAGTTTTTAAAATTATACAAACCATTATTATATGTAAACAATTACCCTTTGAGAAAGCATAGAGGGACCTGGACAGTATTATGCTAAGTGAAATAAGCCAGAGAAAAACAAGTATCACATGATCTCACTTACACAGTATGTGGATTCTAATGAACAAAAAAAACCTGACGAACAAAATAGAGCCAGAGACACTGAAGCATGCAACAAATTAATGCATTTCAGAAGGAAGCGGGTAGTGGATAGACATTAACCAAATAACTTACATGCATATATGCATAACCCATGAACACAGACAATAGTGTAGCGAAGGTCTGGGGAGGAGATGGGTGTGGGGTGGAGGGAAGAAATAAATAGGAGGAAAAAAGGGACATCTGAAATACTTTCAACAATAAAGATAAATTTTTTAAAAAGAAAGTTTTATCACAAAATAACAAAAAAGGAAACAAATATCCACCAATAGAAAATAGATTAATAAATTATAGTATATCTATGTAATAGAATAATTATACAGAATCAAAAATAAATATACTTAGGCAACCTATTAGCAACATAACTCTCAAAACAATGTAAAGCTAAAAAGGCAAACTACAGAATACTATTTCTATAAAGACTAAAAACAGAAACTTTATTAATTCTAAAATATGTTTATATATCAAGTATAAAAATATGTATGTGAACAAATGACACCACAAAATCAGGGTACTAATTGTCTCTGGGATTTTGGAAGGGTATGCAGGGGTCTTTAACTATATTAGCAATGTTTTACTTCCTAACCTGGGTGGTAAATGCATTAATATTCTTTATTTTCCTCTAAACCTTTCCTTTTGTCCTAAGTATTATATACATGATCTGAAACAAATTTAAATGGTGACAGTTATTAAGTATGAAAAGTACATAAATACCACCTATAATTTTATGTATTGTTTGAATATTTTACAATTTAAGTACATGAAAAATTTAGAGGTTGAATTCACTTTAATTTTTAAGTTACATACAATTTAATTTTGGACAAGATCCACTCACTCCCTGTTTGGAAAGTTGAAAACAGCACTCGCATTTCCTCCCATTTCTTCTCCCAATTTTTGTTATATAATTTTTACATTATCCAGGTTATAACATTCATATTCCATTCTATAACTATAATTCAACAGTTATTTAGTACTAGGTCTATATTTTAGCTTGATCAATCTCTTTACAGTCCTCTTACCACAACTTCTCTTTCTTGAATCTTTAATTTTTTATTGGCTGCATTTCACTGTCAAGTAGCCCTTTTCTAGTTGAGCTCATATGTATTCCTTTCTCTAAATTCTTTCATGTTTAAGAAGAGTATCTGCTTGCTAGCTTTACAGCTGAATGACACCTTGGCTGGGTATAATATTCTCGAGCCATCCATTCTTTCCTTCAGAAATTTGCAAATACTGCTCCCTTGAATGCTGGTATTAAATGTTACTATGAAGAAGTCAGAGGCAAGTCTGATTTCTCCCCCTTTAATGTGGTTTACTTTTCTGCTTAGAAGCCTAGAAGTCTCAATCATTGTCATTGTCTCTCCCTGGCTGTCTCCCCCTTCTCACCCTCCCTTTCTTTCCCTATGTATCTTACTCTCACTATATAAAAAAAAAAAAATCCACATTATTACACTTTAGGTAAAAATAACTCAAAACTATCCAGGAAAATGGTTTTACAAAACTGACTGCATAACGCTGCAAGACTTTTGTGGAGTTCTGACCATGCAAGGTGTTTTCTGAGAAGGACTACTTGGCTTCTGTAAACACATTTACACCTACTATTCAAGCCACTGGAATCATTGCTCCCCTTTGCTTACTCAAGCAAGATACTGATACATACAAGTCTTGCAGCTGTCAGTGGTTTAGTTCTACCCATCTGCATAGATCAAGCATGTCAAACTCGCGGGCCCACAACAAATATTTTTGGGGCCCAGCCAATATAAGTGTGTAAAAAACATTTTAATAAAAATTTCGTAACTTAATTTTTACAATATCCTGTTATATATAACTATTAATAATGAACTACAATGTTCGCTAATGACTGATGACTATAATCGTGTTGCATTAATTTCCCTAATGTGCCTTACGCGCAGGCACACCATTTCTCTCCACTAATATGGTAGCAAATATTTTAGCAGCTGATTGCCACATCACTAGTCTTGGACTGACTTGTTTGGTGTGCGCAACAGGAAATATTTTGAGTTTGGAGAACAAGAAATATAGGTTTATTTGTGTTACGGTCATTAATTTGTGCAGTTATTCAGTGTCTGGTAAATTAATGTTCAAGAAAATATTAATTTTTATTAAGATGTTCTATTATTTTATGTTAATGATTACTCATTTATTTCAGCCCTTTATATTCAACATGTCTCTATATAAATAAACCTACGTTTCTATGAAAATTGAAGCTTCTGTCTTTCTGCAGCCCACATAAACTTAAACCTTGTTTATTTGGCCCATGTTAGCCTTTGAATTTGACATGCTTGATGTAGATGCATACCTCTAACCAAGTCTTGTTATCAATGTAACCCATGTGTTTTTGCATGTTTCCTAGCTGTTCTGCGTATTTAATGATACATTTTGGGGGAAATCATAAACTATGCCACCACTGCCATATTCCCAGAACCCCTGAAAGAACAGATGCTAGTTTTTCACAACCTTCATTAATAGAAAATGCCTAGAAAACACTGCGAGGGCACAAAATCAGCAGTGAGTTAAGCGCTGATAAATTTCTCCCAAAAGTCAATCTCCATAGCTAATTCCACCATGACAATATATATCCTCCTTTCAGGATAAGTGGCATGAGACCAGTAAAAAGACCTTGCAGGCTGGGAAGTACTACACAGTGGCCTAATTTCCACAGGTAAACTATAAATTCAAACCATTTGATCTATAGATATGTTGTTAATTAAATGAAGAGATAAAGTAATCCCCTATTTAAAAGAACCTACTGTATGTACCTAAAGCAAAGCACGAGATACAGTATCTGGAAAAGATGAATTATTGCTTATTACAATAAATTCTTTGTGGCTCCCAATTTCAAAAACTAAGGATATGTCAAAAAAGTCTGGGATACTACTACCAAAATATTAACAGAGATTTTCCACCAGATAATAGAATTACTGATGATTTCTTTTCCTTTTGTTTATTTTATAAATTTTTTAAATGGAAAATTAATTTTTTTGCAAAAGTGTTAAAACAACTTACGCTAGAACCATGCTGTAATCTGAGTGGTTAAACATATATCCTCCAACAATCCACATTGTATTTCCATTGACCACAGCTTTGTGAGAGGCTCTGGGGAGCCTTGGGTTAGAATATTCCTCTTGAGTCCAAAATGACTGGTTAGCTGGTACAGGAATTGAACATCCAGGACCTAAGAAAACATAATAAATTAGCTTCATAAAATGCAGCTTTAAAATTACTGCATTTCAAGTTTTAATCTACTAAATGTAACAAATATCTAAAGAATACTCAGTCTTGCCCTTTAGCGTCTAGATATCAGACAAATCACTTTAATTTGTGCTTTTCATTTACTCAAAGCTGGAGACCAACAGTATCTCTCATAAAATTCAACATCACATACTTTTTAATGATGACCTGAAGCAAAGGTTAGGATTTTTTAGTAATAAAATACTTGCTTTAACAGCCCTTGGAGGAAAGAGGACAAAGGGATTATTAGTGCAAATGGAAAAAAACCCCAAAACTTTAGGGCTAAAATGTAAAGACTAGTCCCAGGTATAATAGTACAAATTTCCCATTTCCTAGAAAATCAAGAAGCTCCATTCTTGGAACGTTTGGCTTCTGCTGCACCATCAGTTATTTACCTCCTTGATTTCGCCAAATTGAACAAATAAGGCATTTATAAAAGCACATTTCCTTTCACAATAAAAGTGGTCTGACGAAGGGATAAATGTATAAAGGAAATCACTAAATCAGTATCAGCTAAAGCTTCTTTAATAATTTTTATCTACAGATAAATCCATTAGCTGACCACTTTAGACTTTTACTATATATTGAAAGTTTCTGATGAGACATTATTATTGTCCCATCCCCCAGCTTGGGTCTCTGCTATGTCGTCTTATGGCTGAGACCAAGTTCTCCAACTTTCATGAATGAATTGCAAAGAATTTCAAACTCCTCCCCAATTCTAAAGAGACTACAACCACACATCTATGAATTTCAAAGATTTGTAAGAAGCTCAATAAAGAGATGTGAAAATCTAAACACTACCTGATATTTGAACAACAGAGAAGATAGATACTAGGGATAAAGTCAATTATAAGTTATTAAACTAGAAATATACTGTAAGTTGGAAGAAAAGTGAAAAAAGCACCTACCCTGCCACTCTGAGAAGCAGAAACATCCTCTGACATCACTGGAATTGCAGATGCCTCGATAAGGAAAACCACAGTTATTTACACAGTGAGGAATGTCACATGCTTCACCTTTCCAGTTTTCAGAACATTCACACTGAGCAGTGTTGCTGCTATTGCTGATCTTACATTCTCCTCGGCCTGAGCAATTATTCGGACACATGTCAAAACTATAAAAACAGTGAGAAAAAATTAAATCAAAACAAAGCAACACGTGTAATAATTTAGGAGAACTTCCTCCTACACAAGGTTTAAGAACATCACTGTCTTTCCAGTTCATTCACAAGCAGGGCTGCAGTACTTACCATTCAGCCTAAACAGGGTCACCCAACAAAGCATAGTTTGGGTAAGTAACAAAATCAAATTGACCTTGCTGGATTCTCTTAGGAGATAAGTGAAAGAACTTACAAAGAGAGAAGAAATTCTTGCAAAATGTCCAGGCTTAGCTTCGCAAGGATGGAATGACTACCCTATTCTTGGTAGCCCACAAATGATGAGCATTACAAAATTACCAAATGCATGTGGCAAGTTTGGAAAAGAAAAGGATAAGACAAACTGCAACAATGCACCATCATCCTCATATTTCACTGAGTTTTAAAAAAACTTTAAATGAGAAAATACATTCAAACTGCTTACCGCAATGCCTGTCACACGATAAGCCCTCAATATATGTTAGTCATTATTATTGTTAAAACAAAGTATATAGTCTTTTGAATAAAACTACAAATATTAGACTTAAATATCTTACTTGTAAGTGATATTAAATCCAGTCAAATTATAAGCAGCATCACTAAAAAAATGCAGCAGGGCATAACCTGATGTGGCAACAACCTCAGGGACAGTCTCATTGCCGTCTCTTTCAGGAACAATCAGGCCACTGAAATGAAAATACATTTCTTATCAAGAGAAACACAATCACAGACACATCACATGGTGGCAAACACAAACTCAGAGCTGAAATTCATCCTTATAATTTCAAAAACCACTTCCAGGAAGAGGGGCAACTTCCTGTGATAAATGCATGATACAACCCTATTCTGGTTTCTCTGGGGAATAGATCTGAATCTTTTGCTAGATTCTCCTTTATTCTGGGTTATATTTCTCTTAAGATTTGAAATCAATGGCCCTATTATTCTTTCTTTTAATAAACATTTTTATAATGCTTCTTTGAAAAACTGAGTAAACCTCTAATAATCACAGAAAGTAACAAACTTCATGAGTTGATGAATGTCAAATACTAGCAAAAGATATGAAAAGTAAAAATATAAATAAGTAAGCTTGATAAACAAACACATAATTCCAAATACACCCTGATGTATTTTCTTTGCCTAATTGATACCAGATTACATTTTATAGTTTATTTTACCAATAATATACCATAAGCATTTCCCACATCACTAAAAGTTCCTTCAGAACTTATGGTATCTCAGTCCAGCACACAAAAATATTCATTGGGTGCCTGGAAAGGGAAAGAATTATGTCAAGGTTCTAAATGATGGCTTTAAGGGTCCTGACTCATAATACCAACTTGCTTTCCAGAAGAGACATGCCAACTTGAAGTCCCATCAATAAAGAATGAAAAGAGTCAATCCCACCTCACCCCACCAAGTAGATTACTAGTCCTATTTTAGCTTCACTAATAAGTAAAAGGTGATTTTTAAATTTAGATTCTGAGTTTCTTTTACACTTCCAATATTAACCATTTTTCCTATGTTTACCTGCCTATTGCATAGCTTCATATGCTCAATATCTTTAATTATTGAGGTACTGTCACCACCACCAACACTGCCACCTCATTCTTTAAAAGCCTAAATCCTTACCAGGTCCTATGCAGTCTGTTCCACACACATCACCACCACCTAATGAACAAAAATCTCAACCATTATTCTCTTCCCTTATTCACTTGACCCTAGCCACACTGGCCTCTTTGCTTCATAATTTGCAATACACCCAGAGAAAACACCATACAACACCTGCATCTTAGGTTTTAAAAACTGAAGACTACAGAACAGAATTCCGATTGAAAGTCCACATCTTCTGAATCCTGTGTGGTTTTCTTCTTTATTGGCTGACCTAGCTGCTGCCAGGCTCTCTCCACTCTAGGCCCCCAGCACATTACCACTGGGTTGATTCCTCTATCCAAGTCCTCCAGACCCAACAGCATTTCTCAGCTCCCCATCTTGTGACAGGATTTCCAAATTGTTCTGTTTATCAGTGGTTTAGAGGTTTTGTGTTTCAGGTAAATTTCAATTTTCAAACCTGTATTTTCTCCCTATAATTTTAGAAAATTTATATTCTAATACTATGCCATAGGTTAAATTTTAACACAATCAATGGATTAATCTATACTATCAGTTAACCAACTTTTTTTTTATAGAAACCTAAAATTTCTCCTGTTTTCTGTACATATACTTTGGCTCTTCTCAAAAGTCACCAATTAGAACAATTACAGCCTTCTGCTTATTTATATACTGCTGTTGATTCACATGTCTGCTCATCAAACACCCAGTCCAGGTGAAGCACAGCACTGATTATGCATACCTGCTTGGCTGATGTTCCCACAAGGCTAATGGCAAGCTGATTACAAGTGCCCAGCACATTACAAGACTCCATATATTTGGATTAATGAACTCAGTATCAAGTGAACCCCCAACAAGTACTATCATGATAACATTTATAGGTAGTTTTTACGCTTATGTTAAAATGTGTGGTGCCTCTTACTATAATGCAAGGAATGCTTCAAATTCTGGCATAAAGACATACATGCTCAACACTTAGCAAATGACATTCTAATTCTTAGCATGGCCTATCCACCCTGATCTTTGGCCTCGAAAGTGAATCTTAGAAACTGGTTCTTAGTTCAAAGATATGTTAGAGAGATTTCTAAGCCAAAGGGAGGGAGAAATACAAGGGCACATTAGTCCCCTGGTCTCCTGTGTCCTTGGCAACTCTTGTACTATTTACTCTGTTACTTCCTCACCCACAGGAGACTAGTCCCATGTGAGGAATACAAAAAAATATTTGTTGAATTGATTTCTATTTAAAGTCAAGGAAATAAAATACTTATAGGGGGTGGAGAATCCAGAAAGTGAGTTGTAGATGAAAAACTGACAAATATGACTTCCTAAGGAGATGTGTATTTTAAAAATATATTATTTTATAAATCTTCTATCAAGTTAAAGGAAGAAAAATAGGATGGTTTTCAATTCCTATGTGGTCAAAAAGATAACAACACAGCCAGTTATTGTTAATAAAAACTAAAATGCCAAAACAAATTAGAACATGCCATATATTGGGTGTTAAGCTATTTTAACAATATAGAATACAATTGTTGAAAAAATATTATAATACATAAATGGTATATTCCTCATTCTCCTCAGATATCCACTGTTCATTTTCTGTGTATTCTTCCATAAAATCCCCCTCACCCATAAATACACACACACACACACACACACACACACACACCCCTATATTTGAATTTAACAAATACCTCCTGAAGGCCTATGTAATGAGGAACACAGCAAGGATTAAAATTAACATGATCCCTGATTTAATTTTTTTACAGAAATATTATTATTCAATATATTAATCACAAAACATTTTTAAAATGTAAACTTCACCACCACCAGGAGAAGCAGATGAACAATACTACCATCACGACTGTACAGAGCAGGAAATTAAAAAGAGAAGTCAAGTACTCTGCCCAAAGACTTACCTAATAGTTACAGGAAACCAAGTCAGGCCTCCAGAAATAGTACTATTTCCATGAAATAGTGTGTTAAGGAATAATAAAGGTGAGTCCAGTAAGAATGCAACCTAGGACATATGTTTGAATTCAGAAATCATATGATTAACAACTAATATGAGTGAGCTTACCTAAAGGCAGCAATTAGTGGTGCATAAATTGAGTCCCCATCATAAACATATAAATGGTCCCAACTACACTCTGTAGCAAAATGATTGAAACGGAGTCTCATTATTCTATTTGGCCTGAAAAAAACAAACCAAAAATAATTTATAATAATTATCACTATCAAACATTTAAAAAATATATACCTAGATTTTTAATTTACAGAGAGGAGAAATTAATACTACAGAGTATATCATTATTTGTCAAAGATTCACTTAGTATATACTATCTGCAAGAGACCACTAAACATGCACTGATAAACAAAATAGACATGGTCTGTGCCTCTTTGGGCCTTATAGTCTACACAGGAGCCATTCATTAACAGCCTCTGAACCAACCCATTAGCCCTTCCAGTTCTACACTTCCTTATTCAACCGAAGACTCCACATCATTTCATAATCACACCTGCCAATTCTCTAAACTCACCTGCCCCTCTGACTTTTCATGGAACTACTTGGCAAAAGCCATGGTCTAGAGGAAAACAGTTACCTGCTTTGACTTAGACTGAACCCAAACAAAACTAATCCATGCCAGAGAAAGTCACACCACTGAGAGGGCTGGCTCCAGGATTGGTCACTGCTCACCAACTTCAAATGGTACTTTAATTCTGCCAGCAGTCCTATTACTAACTCTCTCTCCCTCTCCACAACTGGTCCTCTCAATTACTATTTCAAGCCATTCAGTCCCACCCACTTCTCTGCACCAAGACAAAAATCCCTCAAATTCCCATTTTTCAAAACAGATACACCTACCTACTTCTCCTTCCATTTCTCAAATATTTAGCATCTTCCTTATCTGAAACTTCTACATCCACATTTAAATCTCCTTCGGTATCACATATTTTACAAAAACAACAAAACATAAAAAGCTTCAAATCCCAACTCTTCTTCTAGTTATTACCCCACCCATCCCTTTCTCCTCTTAATAGAGTAAAACTCTACAGAAAGCTTTGTTTTCTCCATTTCCTCATATCCCACTTACTCCTTCACTCTCTAACTTGGCTTCAGCTCAAACAGTTCTTGGTATTAGCAACACCATCTAGTTCCCGCGGATGCCTAATTATATGTCTCCAGTCTAGACTTTCCTCTACCTCACACTTATCTATCTAACATCTCTAAACAAACTAAGTAAATACATAAATAAGTTAACTCAGCTGGTGATAAATACTGTGAAGAAATTGAAGGAATTATGTTATGGTAGTATACCAGGTGGTGGGGAAATACCCCAGAAAGCTTTGAAGGAGATTAGAATGACAAGAGATAAGCCATATGAAAAGCTTAGGAACAATGTTTCACGCAGAGGAAACAGCACTGTCTTAAAGACTCAGGAAGAAAGAAGTTGATGTGTAAGAACAATATGAAGAAAATCAGCATATCTGAAACAGTAAATCAGGGAACCTCATGAGATAAGAAGAGGTAAGCAAGGGGCAAACGCAAAAATCAAAAGGCCAATTTCAAGGCTATTACAGGGGCCGAGGAAAATGAGGGTGGTGGTTTTTATAATAATTTCAGAGATGAATATGAAAAGGAGAATGTAGAAGGATTTGGGAGATATTCTAGAAGGAAAATGGACAGAACTTACTGATAGGCTGAATATGGGAATAAGAGGAAAAAGAAATTATTTTTTGCTTAGGCTGAGGAGGAACAACCACTGAGATCCCATGCTGAGCAATGGTAGAGAAGGACACCAGATGGGAGTGGACTGACAGAAAGGGCAAGGGCAGACAATAGAGCACAAGTTCTCAAAGTGTGGTCCACAGTACACCAAGGGTCCTGAGACCCTTTTAGGGGCCCAAAAGGTCAAGACTATGTACATAATAATTAATACTAAGCTATCATGTACCTTATCATCATGTTGGCATTTACTAATGGTACAAGAGCAAATGGTGGGTAAAACTGCTGACACCTTGGAATCTAACAAGACGGTAGCACCAAACTGTACTAGTAATCACTGTTATGCTTCACCATCACTCCCTCACAGAAAGAAAAAAAGAAATGACAGCTTCATTTAAGCATAGCTTTATTACATGGTAGAAACTATGAATTTTATTAATAGTACACATCTTTTTAATATTATGCATGACAAGGTGGGAAGTATGCATAAAGCACTTCTGCTACCTAACAAAGTACAATGGTTTCAAGGAAAAGCACTTTTGAAATTGTTTTGAGTTGTGAGCTGAACTAGTTGCCTTTCTTTTAGAACACCATTTACCATTTTTACTTGAAAGTCAGACTTGGATATATGGCAGATATTTTCTTGAAAATGAACAAAGTAAAACTGTCACTTCAAAGAAAACAATTGGCAGTATTTGGTGCCAAAGATAAAATACAAGCTTTCAAGCAATAATTAAAGCTTTGGAAGATTGATATCTGCCACCTAGATACAACTTCCCAATATTTAAAACTTTCTGATGAGATTGATGGTGATATAATTAATGTGATTTTTTAATTGATTTGAGAGAGAGAAAAACATCGATTTTTATTGTTCTACCCATTTATGCATTCACTGGTTGATTCTTTTATGTGCCCTAACCAGGAATATAATCTGCAACCTTAGGTATCAGGACAATGCTCTAACCACCTGAGCTACCTGGCCACAGCCCAATGTGAGTTTTAAAAAATATTATATAATGAAATATATCAACATTTGGGATATCTGCATAATTCAGTGAGCCAATATTTTCCAAATGACCACATATCATGTTATAAAACCATGCACAGGTTAAAGATCCATTCAAAGTACAAGAAAACTAATTACTTTTAATTTAACAAATTCCTAAACTTCATTCACATTGTTTCATATTCCACATTGCAATTTACTTTTAAGAAACTACCACTTGTCAAAGACTACCATCCACAATTCTTTAAAAGCACTATAAAAAACCCTTTCCTTTTCCCACTTCATATTCAAGTGAAGCCTAATTTTCTTCACATACTTCACCATCGTAACATTGAAACAAAGTGAATGCAGGCCCGGCTGGCGTGACTCAGTGGATGAGCATCTACCTAAGAACCAGGAGGTCATGGTTCAATTCCTGGTCAGTGCATATGCCCAGGTTGCAGACTCTGTTCTGAGCAGGGGATGTGCAAGAAGCAGCCAATCAATGATTCTCTCTCTCACCATTGATGTTTCTATCTCTCTCCCTCTCCCTTCCTCTCTGAAATCAATAAAAATGTATTTTTTTAAAGTGAATGCAGAAAAAATGATAATCTAGCTGTCTTCTATTAATCCAGGGAAGAGATTTACAAAAATGTAAAGCAATGCCATTCTTTTATTAACTTTATAAATACAGGGCTTCTTTTTTCATAAAAATATGCCATTAATGCTAACGCATAGTGGGTTTATTAGTTATTTTTAAACTGAATTAAATAGTATTTCCTAGTTTTAATTTTTAATATGGTAAAAACAGGTATAACCCACAAAAACAAAGGTTATTTAGAATTCTATAAATTTAAGAGTGTAATGAGGTCCTGAAACCAAAAAGTTTGAGAAACACTGCTTTAAAGGTTTGCTGAAGGTAAGAAAAAGAAGGTAACAGCTGGAGAGGCATGGGAGCAAAGAGAAGGAGCTGTTTGGCCAATAACAGTTATTCTAACTTTCATCCCCACAATAAAAATATGTATTTATAAAAATGACACAATATTATGATTTTCTAATGCTTTAAGCACATCACTTAAAATACTCCATTTTTTTAAACTAATACAATTGAAAATATACAAAATTATGGTGTGTACAATTCATCTACAGCATTAAATCATCACAAGAAGGTTTTTTTTAAGTAAAAATAAAGATTAAGAAAAATAAAATTTACTTATAAAATAAGAAATTATCGAATAAAAATATTTTAAGTACTTTATGCTACAGTTTGTTAATTTTACTTGTAGGAAAAGCAATGCCACACTGAGCTCTATCCTAAAAAAAAAAAAAAATCAATTAGCCATTATTACTTACTGTCCTTCAATGAGCCATGTGCACTTCGTTTTATATTTATAATTTCCAGGTCCATCTGTTACAAACCCAGAAGATCCAGTTAATCTGTAATTTAAAGAAAAAAAAAACTTAAGTCCATCAAGATTTTATATATTAATAATATATTTCTTAATTCTCAATACAATCCAAATTAAGCAAAGTGAGATGCATACTATATAACCAGAAGAAAATAACTGCATAGTTATATTCAGATTACACAAATATAGATAAAACAAATATATACATTTAAGAAGATACACATATATTAAAATCAAGACAAATAAACAAAAATCATATCTAAATCTTTCCAGATAAGATGGAGAAAATCATACATTATACCATAAAAACAGCCACAAAAACTTATTTATAAATATGAGCTGGTATTTTTAAAAAATAAGATCACACAGCCCTGGCTGGTATGCTCAATGGTTAGAGTGTTGGCCAGTGCACAGAGGTTCGATTCCTGCCCTGGTAGGGTTACAAGAGGGAGGCAACCAATCACTGTCTCTCTCAAATCAGTGTTCCTCTCTCTTTGCTTCTCTCTCTCACCCCTCCCTCCACTTTTTCTAGAAAAAAAAATCAATGGAAAAAATATCCTCGGGTGAGGATTGACCAAAAAAAATTTCACAGTAACAGTTATAAGTTTTTAATACAATAACACTATAGTCAGCATAACTGTGATGGGCAAACACATCAAGCCACAACTCACAACAGATCCACCATAGCCATTTAAGCTGCTGCTTCTGAAGTGGCAATCTATAACCAAACCTTTGAACAGTGTACATCAGCACCTGTCTTCCCACACTCGTGCCAAGCCTGAAGTTTGGCAATATTTTGAGATCTTGCCAATATGGTAGGCATATCCTACTATTTAATTAATGTTTTGACTGGTATTAGCCCTAACGTTTGAATCTTCTCATCGTTTGTTCATTTGTATTTCTCCCTTTGTGAATTTAGATTCCATATTCTTTGCCTACTTTTCGACCAAGTGGTCTTTTCAAATTAATATTTAGGAGCTCTTTTTATATTAAGGAGCTCCCATTTGTATGTTATATATACTATAAATATATTTTCTCACTTTCCTTTTTTCTTTATACTTTGTTTCTAGTATATTGTGTTATATAGAAATTTTTATTATTTAAGAAGGATGCTATTTCCTTTCTCACTGCTGTTTCCAGGTCATTTTTTCCTCCGTCTTCCACCAACAATGTCAGTCTCTCTGAAACAGACGCTCTTTTGGATCAGTCTCCCTCACTTTTTTAGATATCTACTGAGATCCCAATTACATTTCACCCACTGAAGACATTAGCATCTAGTTCACTGCCTTTCACTCAACTACTTCAACATCCGAGATGTTCCATCCAAAACCCAGACTCTCCACTTCATAATTTCAACATCAGAATCTTTCTCCATCCCACTTTAGTTACTCATTCTTCTAGGTCTTGTCATTACCAGTAACAGCACAACCACCAAAATGCTCATTTTAGGTGTCCTGTACTCCTATACTAGTACCATCTCTTCTCTCTCTGGTTCATTTAGCTTTCTTCTCCCTTCCCAGTGAGTCATCAGTCCCATGGGGACCTCCAATCCACTAAACCAACTCTCCTCCATGTTCATCCCCATTAACCACACATTTCACTTTCCCACTTCCCTAGTTAAGATCCCATGAGCTATCACAACTATAATGCCCTGAAAATCTCTTGACTTCTTTGCCCTTCTCTCCCTCTGCTATAAACTGACACAAATGTCTCCATGTTTTACTCCCCAACGTCTATTCACCCCCAAAATGTTAGTGTGAGCCAATCATGGTTTCCTGTGCCCTCTGTCAATAATTGATTGGCAAAGGGAAGCAATCCAGAGCATATAAGGCATTTCCATGATCATCAAGAACCTAATATTCTTCTATCTTGTTTTGTCATCTTTAAATATGTGGCTTCCACCTCATAATCCAAGATGCTGCTCAAACTCCAGCTATTATTCCCATAGTCTACCCAGCAAGGAGGAGGAAAAGAAAACAAGGCACATATCGCCTCCAAGTCAAACATGACAGCACAACTTAACCATCAGCCAAAAGTTAGACAAATCTAAATGTAGAGGCTGAGATATGTAGCCATTACCCCAGATTACCATGCACCCAATGAAAACCAGGACTTTCTATACTAGAGAAGTGGAGAAAGGCTATGAAGGCTCATTATTAGTCTTTGTCACAACATGTAACCTAATATTTAAATGTGAGGGGATGTCTGATGAAGGACTTCTGGAAAATATTTTCTGATTCTTAAAGACAGTATGTAGACTGAGAGATGCGCCACCTAGATCTCCCCTTCAAGGAAGGACTTGCTGCCAGCTGCAGCAGGGAGTCTGGTCATCACACAGCCTCCAGCTGCCAGTCCTTCAGGAGCTGCCTTCCCAGGGCAGCCCACACCAGAGTAGATATAAAGGCTGAGCATTTCAATCCAACATGGAACTCTGACAAGCAATCCTTGCTCCAGAGCTTCCCTTGGCCAGGCTTGCAATAAAGCTCTTCTTTTGCCCAGTTCTGCTTTCAGCCCCTTCCTCTCACAGTTATAACCAAGTTGTACCCCAAACTCCATCTCAGCAAACGTTTCCAAGAAATCCTACAACAGACACCCAGAGAGACCATACTTCTCCCTCTGGACTCTGCTATAGTGGATTTTACAGCTAGAAGTACTGCAGCCTGAACACAAAGCCAACACCAATGATGACAAATCAAAGGAAGGCAAAGGTCCCTGAAGAGCAATACCAACGAACCACAGAGTCCACCCCAGTTTTATTGGTAATTAAATTTCCCACTGGTTACTGCTTTAGAGAGAGATCTCAAAAGGGAGAGAGAGAGCGTGCATGCATGCACTGCCTTAATTCTTTGTTTTAGGTTCTCCTACCTCAAAAAGTTTATGGCTTTCTACTATGCTTGTTTTACTCTTAAGAGTTTCTATGGCCTTCACATAGACATGCTCAGGTATTTGCAAATCAGCATCACTTTTAGAAAAGAAATAGGCCACTTTTACTTTAAATATTTACTTAGTATCTTTAAACATTTACATAATTTTACAGATAATAGATATAATCACAGGCTTTTTTGGTCAACTAAAAAACAATTCTTTCCTCGTTCTCCCACCTACCCCCCACCAAGATAAATTTAACCACTAGCAAGCATTCTTTTTTTTTTTTAATATATTTTATTGATTTTTTAACAGAGAGGAAGGGAGAGAGATAGAGAGTTAGAAACATCGATGAGAGAGAAACATCGACCAGCTGCCTCCTGCACATTTACATAATTTTACAGATAATAGATATAATCACAGGCTTTTTTGGTCAACTAAAAAACAATTCTTTCCTCGTTCTCCCACCTACCCCCCACCAAGATAAACATTTAACCACTAGCAAGCATTCTTAACTATTTTTCTTCATGCTCATGAGCCCATGATGTATGCATGGTTCTCTTACATAATTTTTTATTACAGAAATTAATTATTATAGAAACTTTTTTGAATCTTTGTTCTCTCACTGAACAAAACTTTGTGGGACTCTATCCAACTATCAGGTCTAACTCATTCTTTTTCACGTAGCATAATATTCCAACCTATAGAGATACCTTTTTTTTTTTCTGACCTTCTACTAACACTCATTCTGTTTTCAATTGCTTGGCATTATATACATTGCTGCAATAAATATCCCTATACATATGGCCTTACTTCTGCTTTTATTTCTAAAAATAGACTCTTAGGAGGTTTACTGGGCCAAAAAGAATATGAATTTTAATTGTTAAGCAGGCTGCCAAATTATTTTCCCAAAGGCTGTAACAATTCATATTTTCACCTGCAATATATGAAAACATTCTATTCTCCACATTTCCTCTGTATTAGGTATTGTTTCTTTTAAATTTTATCAGTTTTTAATTTGAAATTCCCTGTGTTCTAGTGAATGACCAACAAGTGGTTACTGAAAATTCAGAAAGAGTTGAAAGGGGAAGGCCAGGAATAGCAACCTAAAATTTCAGGTCAAGTTTTATAGTATAATTAGAGATCTTGGTATGGAAACTGGTACTACCTGTACCCTACTTCAGCAGCAGTCACACAAAGGCATCAAATTGAAACATAAAGACATATGGACAATATAAGAACAGAAATATAAGGAATTAATGCCTTGCTACTACCAATTTCCCAATTTGAATATATGCTGAGGGTATTTCTACAATGAAAATGAATAGAGAGAAAAAGGGAAATCCTCCATAGAAGGCAGGTTTCAAAGGAGTCATCTTATTAACTATTTCTTTCTAATTTATTTGTATTATTTCCAGACAATATGGTCTGTAAAATCTCAACTTTTCTCATCTGTTCAGACTTTCTATATGACCTTGGACATTAATAAACTTTGACCAAAGTTCCTTGGATATTAAAAAAAAAAAACCAGCCTATTGTAGGAATGTGAAATACTATTTATATCTGCACATATAATTAAGTTTATTGAATGCACTATTCAATTCCTTTATATTCTTTTTTTTAAAATATATTTTATTGATTTTTACAGAGAGGAAGGGAGAGGGATAGAGAATCAGAAACATCGATGAGAGAGAAACATTGATCAGCTGCCTCCAGCACACCCCCAACTGGGGATGTGCCCACAACCAAGGTACATGCCCTTGACCGGAATCGAACCTGGGACCCTTCAGTCCACAGGCCGATGACTCTCTATCCACTGAGCCAAACTGGTTAGGGCCAATTCCTTTATATTCTTACTTAATTTTTTCTACATTTAAATCTAACTCTGAGACATGTATGTTGAAATCAACTGCTTCACTAATGACATTTCTCAAATTTTGCTTTATGTATTTAGCTATTAAGCCAAACCAGCTTATGACAGTAAGATCTTCATAAATTATGCCTTTTAAAAAAATGTTTTTTATTGATTTCAGAGAGAGGAAAGGAGAGGAAGATAGAAACATCAATGATGACAGAGAATCATTAACTGACACCCTCCCGCCCCCCAATGGGAATCCAGCCAGCAATTCAGACATGTGCCCTGACCAGGAATTAAACTGTGAC